TATTTGCCCCCCCAAGAATGTTGAGATCTCACTCAGCCCTTGAAGCCCTGCCTAGAAGTTCCCCATTGGTCCCTTGAAATGTTGCCTTGAAATCCCATCTGATCACCTCTAGGAACAGAATGCCTTCTCCTTGGTTACTGAACTGAAGGGGCTTGGTCACCTGTGCGTATCAAAGCCCAATCAGAAGCAAACAGGAGTTTACAGCCAAGAAGTAAAGGTTTATTAATTAAGGAAATGGTGCTGTACCTGGAGTCACAGGTGAGCTTGTTCTCAAAGACCTGGCTTCCTGATGGCTTCTTGGGGATGGGTTATATAGGGGGCTAAGGGAGTTAGGGGTGTGGTCTCTACTGATTTGTTGGCACTAGGGTAAGGGGGTGGTCGATCATTGCATCTGGTCCTTATTCATCCATGGTGCCATTCTGTCTGGTTTAGCAAGGATTTGGTCAGTGGGACACTCCACTGTCCTGGGTCTGGAGCTGAAATACAGCTAAGGCTTAGATGATATCTTCCCCTGTGGTCAATAGACCTAAGGCTTTGTTCCTAAGATTATTTGATGCTGACCAGAACCTCACTGTTCTAATCATGATCAAGGGAGAGTGAGGTGGGAGAATCAGGGTGTGGCATGAGACCCGTTTTTTTCTTTAAGATTTTATTTACTGAGGCCAGTTTAAATCACAAGGAAAGAAAGGAGGAAAAATCATACCAAAGAAATAGTTTCTGTGCAATTATACCCTGACCTAAGTTTGGCAGGAAACGGGCGTCTCACCTCACTCCAGCGCCCGTCCTCAGGCCCCTCAGAACTGAGAACAAAGGGATGGGGGAACTCACTTTTTTTTTTTCTTGAGTTCCAAATCCCTTACCTACACATTTTCCTCCTTATAAAAAAGCTGTCTTGAAAGGAAATGTAAGACGGTCTGTTAGGGTACATAACCTGCCATCTTCTCAGATCATGGGCTATTTGAACAAAGCGCCCATAAAAATTCAATCCGTCTCTGCTTATTGGCTCTACTTATAACAGGCAGCATGAGCGCTAGCTTTTCCAGTTTCAAAAGGAAGGAGATTGTGTTAGCATTTCCTGTGGGTTCATTTAAGAGCTAGAAGTGCCACAGAGGTCCACCCTGCCAGAGATTCACCAGTACCCTCCACCTCACTGGACCCCACCTGGGCTCCCCACTCTGGCCTCCCCCCACTCTGGGCCTCTGGAGCCACCGAATGGCCCCCCTGGCCTTCCCCAGGCCAGGGTAAGCAGCAACCCCCGACTTTTGCAATCTTAACTACTGTGGTGTGCTTCCGTCTCCTGGGTGGCCACACCTGCTCCCTGCTGCTCCGCCCAGAGCCACATTAGGGCGCAGTCCTCCACAGACCGACCACCATGGTAGCCTGCTGGACTCCACTCATCTCTCTGCTTCTGGTCTACTGCCTGCCGCCTCCAGGTGAAGCAAGTGAATCTAGCGAGGGCTAGCGCTGGGGGGCTGAAGATAGGGGAACGGAGAAAGCTGTGGTTTGCTGCAAACGCTTCTTAAACTCAGATCTGATGGGGGCTCACCAGTGTCCAGGAAAGTTGTGGGACCTTAACTCAGCCTTCACGGCTCCCAGAGCACCAGTCCCTGGGTGTGATTTGTCCTCCCCCCAACTCTCTCTCCTTCTCTCCCTGGTCCTCTGTACCTTAGACCTCTGCCTACACTCCTCCCACCGCCAGGATCCCTCTTCCCTTTCACTTGGATGACTCCTCCTTACCCTTCAAAGCTGGCTGTAGTTGTCTCTTCCGGGAAGCTTCCCTGACTCACTAACTCCTATAGGCTCCTATGGGCCTCCCTTGGCCTCCCTCCACGCTCTCCCCTGTCCTAGATCTATCACCTGCCTACCCCACTGGACTGGCAGCACCATGAAGGCAGAGACCATTATATCTTGGTTGAGGAGGTATTTTAGCGCCTCAGGATGAACAAGCTGGGGGGTGCTCTGGGTCAACCAGCAGAATTTCCTCTCTTCCTGCAGGTGCCAAGGGGCAAAAGTTCCTGATGCAGGTAGAGCCCCAGGACCTGGTAGTGCCGGCTGGAGGATCCCTCTTGGTAAATTGCAGTTCCAACTGCCCCAGTACTGAACTCATCAACCTGGAGACATTCTTACGCAAGGAGCCAGCAGGCAAAGGCCTGGGCTGGGCGGCCTTCCGGCTCAGCAATGTGACTGTTGACAGTAAGATCTTGTGCTCAGGCTTCTGCAAGGGCTTGCAGATAACAGGCTCTTCTAACATCACAGTGTACCGTAAGTGCATGTGCCTGGAGGTGGGACTGGCCTCAGGCAGTGGTGGGGGTAAATAACCAGTGATGTGGGGGAGTGGGCCCTGAGTTTGCAGGAACGGACCAGAGCTTGGACCTGAACGTGTGTTAGCATGCGTGTGAGAGAGACAGACAGAGATGCATCTCAACCGTACGCCAGGGCAGCAGTGTAAATCAATTTGGGTCCCAGAGAGCACTTAAAAATGATAGCACTTTTTAAAAATTGATTACTTGTATTTTAATAGCAGGTAATAAATCAATGGAGTTCCAAAAAGTATAAAAAGGTAGAAATGTCAAATCTCTATTTACATAGGACTGCTAGCAGTGACCAATTTTAAAAAAAAATTATTCATTTGAGAAACATTCATTTGTTGTTCCACATATTGATGCATTTATTGGTTGTTTCTTGTAGTACATGCCATGACGGGGTATCAAACCTGCAACCTTGGCATATTGGGACGACACTCTAACCAACTGAGCTACACAGCCAGGGCCCACTGTTTTCAGTGTAGATACCCACTGTAGTGCTCATTCAACCCTTACAAAATGCCCAGGGCAGGGGTGGGGGATGCACTTCTAAGCCTCATTTCACAGCTAAGGAAACTGTGCTCTGTAGGGTGGAGTCAGGGCCTGTAAGTGGCGAGGGGGGCAGTCTGGCTCCCAAGTCCCTGTCCTTAACGGGTAACATCTTCCTCTCCAGACTGTGCATCCCTCTGGTACTGGTTTCTTGTGGATCCTTCCAGAAGTTTCATAGATTAGTATGATAGTACACGTGCAACTGTGTATATGCTCGTGTGGGTGCCAGTGTCTACACGTTTGTGCACCTACATGTGTCCATGAGTGTGTATGTCTGTGCAAATGTACATGTGTAACCTGTATGTATATCTCTGTACCTCCATGTGTGTCTGTTATCTGTGTGTGTGGGCATGTTTGGATCAATGTCTGTGTATGTGTATGTCCATGTCAGCATGTATTTATGTATGCGTATCTATATTTGTGTAACGTGTACATCTGTATCTGTCTGCATGTATCTGTCTCTGTAAGGTGTTTCTGTACTGGAGCGTGCTGGTCCTGGTTCATGAGATCTGACTGTGCTCATTTCTTCCAAACTCTGCCTCACATTGGGTAGCTTGACATCAGCATGGTGGGAGTATTTATACTGCAGAAATTGGCAAATGCTCCTTGTCTGGGCTGCCCCACACCACTCCCGAGAGCCTAGGCATTATCAGCTTTGCCAGCGTAACACTATCCCTGACCAGTGGTGCCCAAGGTTAATTAAGATGGAGGCCTCCTTATTAAATGTTCTAAAATTGTAAAGAGTAAGATATTAAATATTTTTCATAGCAGCCAGTCCCTGGGCCTCTCTTGAGATCCAGGCTCGAACTGTCAAAGGTTAGAGTAAGGGGCTCCCCAAGGAGGTTAAGGGCTTGGTATGTGCGCCTGCGATGGGCACTGGAGCTGTATCTGGGAGAAGACCCAGCCTGGAGGTGTTGGGTCCCCCACGATCATTCCAGAACACCCTGAGCGGCTGCCCCAGAGACATAGCCTGGGAGAGTCTTGGGCACCTGGGACTGATTGGGAAGGGTTGGGCCAAGCTCTTGGAGAGGCCAGGGCCAGAGTCCGGGCCGGGGGCGGGGGGGGGTCCCTAGATCTGACGTCAAAGAGGCAATTTGGGAAACCTGCATTCTAACCAGGTTCTGCCCCTTTCTGGCTCTGCATCTCTGGGCAGACCACCTCTCTGGGCCTGGGTTTCTCCATCTGTAAAAGGAACAAGAGAGAAAATTTTACTTCGTTGTTATGTGAATGAAGGTGAATGCCTGGATGACAGCTGGAAAATCTAAGGAAAGCTCTAAACAGGAACTTTTATAATTACCATTAACATTGTAAGTGGTCATCGACGTTACTACCCTTCCTTCCTTCCTTTTTTTTAAACACTGAGGCCCTTGGGAACAGCAAACCTGATTTTTATTTAAGTGCCTGACAAGGAATCTGACAAAACAGGAAATAATAATCATGATGCTAATGACAATACCAAACTTCCAGTGGCATATTTCTAATCCCTCTAGGTTTATCAACTCCAAGTTCACAGTTCTGCTCCCTGGGGTGGGGGGCTGCAGGGCTGACTGATGAGTTCTGTTCTCCCCTCCTTCTACCCCACCAGGGTTTCCAGAGCGCGTGGAGCTGGCACCCATGTCCCCCTGGAACCCTGTGGGCAAAAACCTTACCCTGCGCTGCTGGGTAGTAGGCGGAGCACCCCGAACTCACCTCTCTGTGTTGCTGCTCCGAGGGGAAGAGGTGCTGAGCCGGCAGCAGGCAGTTGGCGAGTTCGCAGAAGTCACAGCCACAGTACTAGTCAGCAGAAATGATCACGGTGCCAATTTCTCTTGCCGCACAGAACTGGACCTGAGGCCCCAAGGGCCAGGACTGTTTCAGAACAGCTCTGCCCCCAGGCAGCTCCGAACTTTTGGTGAGAAAAGGGACTGCGCATTGTGGGTGATGAGCTGAGCCAAAGCAGGGGTGCCATGGCCATGAGGCTCTGGAGAATGGGCTGGGCTTCTGGGAAGGCCTGCCCTTGGCCATTGGGCGGGCAGCCATGGGAACTTTAGAGAAGTATGTGCAGACAGATGTGTCCTAAGAAGGGGGTGATCCAGGTTGCACGGTGTCCTGGGAAAGAAGGACCCTGGCTGGGGGTATGAGTGTGTCACAGGGAAAGGGGGCGGTGTGAAACCTCCTCTGGCTCATTTTCACTCTTCTCCCCAGTCCTGCCTGTGACACCTCCGTGTCTCATTGTTCCCCGGGTTTTGGAGGTGGGAACATCCTGGCCTGTGAACTGTACCGTGGATGGGCTGTTTCCCGCCTCAGAGGCCCAGGTCCAACTGGCACTGGGGGACCATATGCTGAATCCTGAAGTCACAAGCCAAGGTGACACGCTCGAGGCCACAGCCACAGTCACAGCGAACAAAGAGCTGGAAGGCACCTGGAAGATCGTCTGCAATGTGACCCTGGGGGGCGAAAGCCAGGAGACTCAAAAGAAACTGACTGTCTACAGTAAGAGGGAGTGGGGCAAAAACAGCTAGAAAGGCAAGAGAGGGGCTAGGTCTTCACTAGCCCAAAGGGCAAGGCACAGAGGAAGCCAAACTGGAAAGGCAGGGCCTGAGCCATCAAAGTGGGAGGAGATACAGCATAGGCGGGCCCTAAGCTTTCATTAGGTTAGGCCTGAGTGTCCCAAGGCAGGGAGTAGGGCGCAAAATAGCTAAAAGGCAAGGCCTGGATAACCTGAGGGGAAAGATGCAGGTGGAGGGCTGGGCTTGGCAGATGTAAGGGAGTGGTTAGCAAACCCCCATGCAATGCCACTCCTTTAGGCTTCTGGGGGCCCGTCGTGAACCTGAGCAAGCCCACCGTCCTTGAGGGGACCACAGTGAATGTGACTTGCACTGCTGGAGCCCGAGTCCAGGTCACGCTGGATGGAGCTCCGGCTGTGGCTCCGGGGCACCTCGCCTTGCTTCAGCTAAACGCCAGCCGGAGGGACAACAAACGCAGCTTCGTTTGCAATGCGACCCTTGAGGTGGATGGGGTGGTCTTGCACAGGAGCAGGAGCGTCCAGCTGCGTGTTCTGTGTAAGTAGGTCACTCTGACCATTAATTCCTTGTTCTCCTGGTTTGGAAATACTTGATTCTCTCTTGCCCCACTGTACCTTGGGTGTGTCTGATCATTTGGCGGCCTCACACATGGTCCTAAGATTGACCCAGCCAAATGTCCTCAGTACTTGACATAGAAAGAAAGAACGATCCAAGTCCTGCAGTGCCAGGCTTGGGGCAACCCGAATCCCCAGGTACGGTGTTTGCGCGAAGGCAACAGGTTCCAGGTGCCTGTCGGGATACCATTCTTCGTTAAGTTAAACTACAGTGGTGCCTACTACTGCCGGGCGGCCAAATCACAGGGCACGTACACTCTCACTGTAGTGATGAACGTTCAGGGTAAGCTGAGGGGCATCCGCGGGTCTAGACCGGCAAGCCTAGGAGGAGTAGGGGTGTAAGTATTTAACTCCTCGTTTCTCTGCACAGATCAGAAGCCCCTCACCGACACCATCATCGTGGCGGTGTTCGCGATCCTGGGCCTCGTGGTTGTCATCGGGGCCTTAGTCTGGGTCTTCGGGGGGCAGAAACGTAGTGACATCTACCATGTGAAGCAGGGGAACACCTGGTTGCCGCTCACGTCTAAACAGCCTGAAGAGGTGCTGTCATCCTGAGCCTCGGACCATCGGGATAATGGCCCTGGGACGACGGGGATTTGTCTGTATCCCCGGGCTCCGCAATAATAAAGCCCTCAAAATCCGGAGTCTGTGGTTTGATTCCACCTGCGCTGAGGGGCTTTCCCACTGCGCCTCTCGTCCACTGAGTGACATCTTGGCAGCGGAAAGGGGCGGAGGCTGTAGTGCCGAGAGAGGGCTTGAACTTTGTGAGGCTGGGCTTTAGCCAATGGGCTGAGAGCTACGGGAAGGAGGGGGGGCTTCTCCCGGCCAATAGGCAGATGCGCCTCCGTTGCCGCTCTATGCCGCTCCGCCCCGGCTCACTGGTCCCAGAAGGCGCCGGGTTTCCCAAGATGGCGGCCGACGTGTCCGTTACTCACCGGCCCCCACTGAGCCCGGAGGCTGAGGCCGAGGTCGAAGCTGACGATGCCGCGGAGCGCCGGGCGCCCGAAGAAGAACTACCACCGCTAGATCCAGAGGAGATCAGGAAACGCTTGGAACACACAGAGCGTCAGTTCCGTAACCGCCGCAAGATACTCATCCGGGGCCTCCCGGGGGACGTGACCAACCAGGTATGGGGGGGCAGTGTGGGAGCGTGGCGGGAAATACCACCGTGCGCGTGCGCGGGGGGGTAAACTAGGCAACACCAACGCTAGCGTGCCGGGGGGCGGGAGGCGCTGGGGGAAGAGTCCAAGATCAGGATCCATGAGGGTTTGGGAGAGACCAAGAGAGGGGGCGGGGGGCGGTGATGGACGGAGAAACCAACTTTGGACTGAGGGAGGACGTTGCGGGGGGCGGCCACAGGCTTGGAAGATACAAAGTGAAGCGGGAAGGCAGCCTTAGCAAAATTGGGGGATTGTGAATGGGCAGCTAGATTGCTCCCAGCCCTGTTTTCCTCCTTCCTCTCTACCGTGGAGTGGCGGGACCTCATAGCCAAGTTTCAGAGCTGTCTAGAATATCCTTAGCACGGTTTATTAACTTCTCTTAGAGACAGATCGGAAGTTGTAGCAGCTCCTGGGGGCTTTCTTCCCCAAAAGCCCCAAGATTAATTTGGAAAAAGGGCTCTCTTGCCCTACAAACCTGAGAGAAAGGAGGGGCCAGTGTTCTGTGGACCCCGCCCCCCCCCCTCCCCGCGCGGATCTAGCCAGGGGTGCTCTTCTCTTGGGGCCTATGTGCAGGGCTTCCCAGTGCTCTTTGGACCCAAGGAGATTGCATCTGGTATGCCCTGCCCTGCGGGGTTCTTTTTTCCTGTTGCTGAGAATTTCTGCTCTCTGGCCCACCAACACATCTGCCACGCACCTTGCCTGTAGGTGGCCACATGACTGGTAGGGCCCCCGGGGTATTGGGAGGGCATGACTTGGGGACAGACCTAGGGCAAGCACCACTAAGCATGGTCTGGTTTGTTTTGAGAGCCGGCCCTCCTCCTAACATCGCCATCTCTCAGTTGAGGACAAGCTGTGTCTCCTGCAGGGTGCACAGTGTATCTGGCACAAGCAGGCCCCAGAGCCTCACCCCCGCACCTGGTTTAAGGAAGGAGGCAATGTCAGCAGGAGGGAACTGGGAAGCACATGAAGCCACATGATGTGGGCTTCAAGTACACAGGGTCCCCACTCAGGTACCCTTGGGTGGCATTCCTGCTGCTGCCTCGACCAACCCCATGACCTTCACCACTCTGAGCCTCAGTTTCCTCATCTGCAAAATGGATTTGTTAATATCTAACTTGTAATGTTGTTGGAAACAGTCTTGCCAGTTGAGGATCAGAAAGGTTAAACAACTTCTCTAAGGGCATATGGCAGTGTGCAGACTTGAACTCAGACCCACCTGGCTCTCTAAGAGTGTGTTGTGTTGGTTAAGATCATGGGGTCTGCAGTTAGACTCTGACTTTGCCAGGTATGGCCTCAATGGCTTTGGGGAAGTAACTTCTCTGAGCCTCAGTTTCCTCCTTAGTAAAATGGGGAATACCGTTGATCTGCCTTCATAGCTGTTGCATGTGAAGGTGACACTGGATTGCTTCCTTTAGCCCCTGGTGACTCCCTGTCCTTTGGCTTCTGTCTCCGCAGGAAGTGCACGACCTGCTCAGCGACTATGAGCTCAAGTACTGTTTTGTGGACAAATACAAAGGGACAGGTTTGTGGGGCTGTGGGTTGGGCTAGTGGCAAGCCCTAAAGCCCGGAGCTTTCTGGCCCTGCGTCTCATTTCCTGAACTTTGAGCCCAGCATCATCCCCAGGCCAGCACAGGACAGACTGTTGTCCCAATCTTTCCTGGATTCCTGTCATGGAGCAGCCTTGGTATTCGTGTTCCTTCTCCCGGCTACTCAGATACCTGAGCATTGGGCTCCCCTGCTCCCCCTACTGTTCCCCTGCTCCCAGGCAGCCAGTCACCCAGGCCTGTCTGGTCTTCTTCAAACCCTCCAGAACAACTGGTGCCCCTCCATCTCTGCCAAAATGGCAGCCTCCCTCTGGCCTCTCTGCGTGCATGATTTCACACTCCTATTTGCCCTCTCAGGGAGCCAGGGTCCGTCAAATTCGATCAGTCTGATTGCAAATCTGATTAATCCTAATCCTAACCTTAAATCCTCCTAATCCTTCTAATCCTCAAAACCTGTCCTAGGCTCCTCTTGACACCACCTTTGCAAGGATGTGCCCCAGCCTTGCCATCTCCCTCTTGTGACAAGCTTCCAGGCATTCCATCCGCCACTGTTCTTAGCTGTTCCCTCTTCTGCCAGGTGGAGGCAGGCAGCTCCTCACAGTGCCCTGAGGACTCTCTCCCCATCAAAGCACTGATCACTTTGGGCTGTCACTGTGGGTTCACTCATCTGCCTCCTGCACTGAGTGGTCATCTCCATGAGAATAGGCATAGGTCTGTCTTATCAGCCTTGCACTGTGCCCCCACCCCCAACTTGTGTGGGAGATCCTGGGGGAGGGGGCCTGTCCTCTAGGCATTGCACTTGCAGTCTGTAACTTGGGTGAGAAGCAGGTGAGGACAGGTGACCCTGGAGACCTACCTAGTGGGCTAGAGTAGTGGTTATGATCTTGGAACCTGGAGGTAAGTGGACCTGGGTTCAAGTCCTAGTCTGTCCTCACCCTGTGGCCATAGGCAAGTGAGTCACCCTTTCTGAGCCTCACCAGCAAATTGGGCATGACCTGCTTGGTTTGGTCACAAGGCCAAACACATTAAAATATGTAAAAAGGCTGTGGGTGTCTGGCACTTAGTAGATGCTTAGTAAACATTGGCAGGGGCAACAAGTCAGGACTGTTTACTGACCTCAAATGTGTATGTGCCAGGCATTGAGGATCCAGAGGTTAAGTGACTCTTTTGTTAATATTGTCTTTCAATAAATGTTTATTGAGCACCATTGTGTGCTTGGACGTGAGCACACAGCTGTGAACCAAATGGAGATGGTCCAGTCTGAGGGGGAAGATGTCATTCACACAACTGCAGGTGTGAAGGTGAAGTGGTCATGGGACCAGAAGCTACAGGGTGCTGTGGGAGCCCAAAGCTGGGATCTGAAACAGGAACAGTCAGGGTAGGCCTTGTGGGGGAAGTGATGTTTGCAGTCAAATCAAAGGGTGGGTCAGGATTAACCAGGTCAAGAGGGGGGTGGTCAGTGTTTCACGCTCAGGGAAAAGCAGGTGCCAAGGCCTGTGGGGGCATGTACCAGGCATGGTCCAGGAAGTAGCGGCAAGAGTTGGGAGAGGAAGTCAGCCAAGCCATGGCACCAGGCCACACAGGCTCCCTTGGGCCCTACAGTGAGAAGCCCCAGGATTTTGAAAAGCTGTAGCTGTTGGATGGACAGCAAACCAGGAGTGACAGGGAGACTGAGGCTGAGTCAGGGAGTCAGACATGAGAGGTGTTGGTTGTCTAGAAAGGTGGTGAGGAAAGGGTGCAGAGTGGGGTGATGGAGCCGTCTTCCTGGGTTCAAGTCCAGGCTTCTCCCCTTGGGCAGGGGAGCATTGCTCTAGACCCACTTCCTTGCTGGCACAATGGTGGTTATGAGGAGTAAGTTATGCCCATTTAACAGATGGGGAAACTGAGACCCCTCACAGCCACTTGGGCTGAGTTGAAACACAGGCTCCAGTGACCACATGCTTGACCACTACTCTATGCGTCACCCAAGTTACACCCCTGTTTCCAGTGTATCACTTAGCCAGGCACACAAGAGATAAGAGGGCAGGTGAGCTCGTGAGTAGGTGGAGAGCAGGGGTAGGGGTGAGAGCAGGGAGCAGGCCTCCTGGAGGCAGATGGCACCTTTGTGAGTTGCTCAAGGCTGGCAGCTATCCAGCCCACTGGGGCCTGAGGTGTCCTGGTTGGTCAGTATTGTGAGATCACATGTAGTTTAGAGAGAGGTAAGGGTGGGCGGCCATGGGGTCAAGGGCAGTCCCTCAGGGACCCCACTGACCCGCTCCCCATCCTGCAGCCTTTGTGACCCTGCTGAACGGGGAGCAGGCTGAGGCCGCCATCAAAACGTTCCATCAGAGCTGCCTGAGGGAGCGAGAGCTATCAGTGCAGCTCCAGCCCACGGATGCCTTGCTCTGCGTGGCCAACCTGCCCCCCAGCCTCACGCAGCAGCAGTTCGAGGAGCTGGTGCGGCCCTTCGGCAGCCTGGAGCGCTGCTTCCTGGTCTATAGCGAGCACACTGGCCATTCCAAGGGCTACGGCTTTGCCGAGTACATGAAAAAGGACTCAGCTGCCCGTGCCAAGTCGGACCTGCTGGGCAAGCCTCTGGGCACGCGCACCCTCTACGTGCACTGGACAGATGCGGGGCAGCTGACGCCTGCCCTGCTCCACTCCCGCTGCCTCTGTGTTGACCGCCTGCCCCCCGGCTTCAGCGATGTGGATGCCCTGCGCCGGGCTCTGTCAGCTGTCCACACGCCGACCTTCTGCCAGGTGAGCTGTGCCTGGAGTCGGGGGGGCTGGGGAGCAGATGCCAAGCCTGGAGCACCTGGAAGGGGGGCCTTTGGAGTCACCAGCCCTCTCCAGTCTCCTGGGTCCCTTTTCAGTAGCCTTGATGACACCACTTTCGATGGGGTTCTTGTTAGGCCACATAGTGCAGTGGGTGACAGCTCAGATAGGAGTCAGGTTATTGGGGCTCAAATCCCTGCACTCCCTCTAGTGACTGGCTTGACCTCGTTGGCCTCTCTCTCCCCCGTGAAGTGCAGGCGAGCCTGCCTTTGTAAAAGCTGGGCAAGAGGCCTCTTCATCCCTCGTTCACATGTACGTCTGCACTCATATTTCTTGAATACCTACTGGGTCCCAGGCCTGGCGCTGAGCATACGGCTCCAGAGGAGCCCAGTCTGTTTAAGCCTGAGGTCAGGAAGTATACGACCAGATTCATTCTTAAGAAGGGATTCAATAATCACACATTGGTTAACAAAAAATTTTTGGTTTGCCCAAGTCACATCTGTCAGGCACTGCCGTATGTGTGCCCAGCCCTGCGGCAGGCACTGTGGGGCAAGTATAGGTCAGGCCCAGCCCTGGGAGAGCCCCAGACAGTCTTGCCCACAGACTGCCAAGACTTGTTCCTTCAGCACTCAGAGGATTGTGAACACAGTAGTGCAGTCCCTTTATCCTGTAACAGTCTGGAGAGGCAGGTATTATCTTCATTTTCAGGAGGGGACACTGAGGCACAGAGGGGTCAAATGACATGCCCCAGGTCATATAGTCAGGACTTGATAGGGCCAAGATTGGAACACCGTGGCCTGGCTCCAGAGCCCCAGGCAGTTTGAAGAAGGCTGGTACTTGGCTCAGACAAGACAGTCCTGGACTCAGACCCCAGCTCTGTGGTTTTGGGTGGGGCCCACTCCTCTTGCATGGATGGATATTGAGACCTGGGGAAGCAGACATCTGGGGGAACTCCTCCCCTTGCTCCCTCAGCATCCATTCCTGCTCCAGACCTGCCGTGTGTCAGGCCCCAGGCAGGGCACGGGACACAGATGAGTTAGCTTGGCAGCCACCTCCTCAAGTGGAGCTTGAGGATGGCAAAGCCATGACCAACGACAAGTTCTCTCTCTCAGCTTCAGTTTCTCCTCTGGAAATGGGACTAGCAGTGCTTTTGGATTATTTTGGGTTATTGTGAACAGCAGCCTGCTTATTCTTCCACTTACACTGGGCATTCTAGTTGAACAGAGTCTGGATTCGAAAGTCAGGCATGTTGAGGTTGGAGCCTCAGTTGCCTTATTTAAGAGCCACGTGGCCTTGGTTGCCCTTTGACCCTTTTATTCATCAGAGCCTCTCTTCACCTGTGATGGTGAGAAGACATGTGCCCAGGCTTGGTGTGGGGCCTGGCCAGAGGTGGGCTGATGGCTAGAGCCTTCCCTACCTGGGCACTCAAAGCGGTGCCGGGCCCCAGCCAGCAGCCTCCCTGATCTGCTGTGCCTGGGGTGGGACCCTTTCCTGCGCCTGTTGAACATCTTATTGAATCCCCACAACTACCTTTGAGGTAGGTACAGTTGCTGCCCCATTTTACAGATGAGGAAACCGAGGGCCAGGGATGGGCATTTGCAGCAACCTGCCTAGAGTCAAGGTCAGGCAACTGACTCCAGGGCCCATGCTCTTAACTGGGTGCCCCTGCCTCCCAAGGTGGCCAATGCCATATTGGGAGTTTACTGCCCTGAGGGGGTGTGGGGCTTTATTTTCAACATAATCAAGATGAGACCGCCAAGGAGATCCCGTAACCACTCACTCTAGATCATGTTGCCATTCATTCACAGGCCAGTTTACATATCATAATTGCTTTAATTCATTATGAAGCTGCTTAAATATACTTGAATGCTATAGATATGTATAAAGTAGGTTTCACAAGACCTTGTGAAAAAAGCCCTTTCTATTTGTTTCTCTCAATGGGCAGTGCGATCGCACATGGAAATTCAGCAAGTTCGGTGGCCAAGAAATCAGCTGAAGGCCTGCCCCACCCCCCCCAGGCCCTCTGGCCCTTTCCTGCAGAGCCCCAGCTTGCACCAGTTTGTTGTGTCCTTCCAGTGAGCTTTCACTAAGCATTTCCAGCAGGCGCACATCAGTTCCTGCCTTCCTCTTTTCTGGACTCAGTTATTGCTGTGCCTCTGTTGGTTTGGTTTCTCCATTCATTTTGTCTTGCACATCTTTCCATGTTCAGACATGAGAGCTTTCTCGTCCTTTTGCAGCTGTGTCATATTCCATTTTTTGAAGCCTGCTGTTCTGTACCAATGGGCATTGCGTGGGTCCCAAACCACGCCACGCTCCAGCTCTGTGGCCTGGGCAAGGGACTGCCCCTCTCTGAGCCTCAGTTTTCTCATCTGCAAAGTAGGCATGTTGGCAGTGCCTGCGTCTGGGTGCAGTGACGGGCCCAGCTGGCTGCTCTCACCCAGTATCTGCTTGCCTTGGGATGGCCCCTGCCCACAGTTCTAGCACCAACAGTGCCCTGAAAACCAAGAGGCCTAGCAGCAAAGAACTAATGGGCTGTTCATGGCCCTTCTCTTGGTGTCTTACTGCAGAGCTATTTGCGTGTTTGATTTTCAGGGTGCCCCGGACCCCACTGGGGTAACTGATATGTAATACATAGTGTGTGTGGCATTCTCTCTCATTCCTTAAAAAATTTCAGTCCTGGAACACATCTGGCCCCAGGGTCCGGAGGAGGGGCCGTGGGCCTGAAGTACCAAATGGCCGCGGTCAAGGACAGTGGAGAGGCCTCCCTGGTCTGCCTGTGGCCACACCTCTGTTCCCTGTGGCTCACAGGCTGTTTCCCTTTCACCACCAGCCTCCAACCTGAGCTCAGAGGCCACCTGCTTTGTTCCCAGGCTGTGTGCCTTCTTAGCCCTGGCTACAGTGTCCTTGGCCTCAGGCTTCTGATTTCAAAGTGCTCCAAAGTGATGGTGGTATGAGGCCCAAAGGAGTTGATCCCTGTGAAGTGGGTCCCAGCTCTGCCCTCCCACCAGCCGTGTGACCTTGAGCATACTGACCTCTGAGCCTCAGTTGTCCCCTCCGAGAAATGGGCAGGATGTACCTTCTCAGGGCCTTTGAAAAGATTTGATGAGCAAATGCAGGAACAGGGCTCGGGACAGTGTTGGCCCAGAAATATACCCTCTCTGTGTTGGGGGTTCTCGCTCGCACTTGGGATCCATGTCTGGTCACAGTTGTCGCTCTGTGACAGCGGTCACTGCACCCCTGGCACTCACATCCACGTCCCTCCCACCAGCTGGCATACGGCCAGGACGGGCAGCTGAAGGGCTTTGCCGTGCTGGAGTACGAGACAGCTGAGATGGCTGAAGAGGCACAGCAGCAGGCAGACGGCCTGGCCCTGGGGGGCAGCCACCTGCGCATCTCCTTCTGTGCCCCCGGGCCCCCAGGCCGCAGCATGCTGGCTGCGCTCATCGCCGCCCAGGCCACAGTGAGTGCCCAGGGCATGGGAATGGGGGAGTTGGGGGGCCAGGCCCACCTCCCTTGAGAAATCAGCGCTCCTGATGGTCATTACTCAGATTCTGGGGCAACAGGGAGGGACATGGTCCCACCTCTGTGGCCTGGCAGGACTGCGACCCACTCTCTTCTTCTCTTCTCAGGCCCTCAATCGGGGCAAAGGGCTTCTGCCTGAACCCAGCATCCTGCAGCTGCTCAACAGCCTGGGCCCCTCTGCCTCCCTCCAGCTGCTGCTCAATCCTTTGCTCCACGGCAACTCGGGAGGCAAGCAGGGTAAGGGGGGGGGGGTCAAGTGGGCAGTGGGCGGGGTCCCCAGCCTCTCAGAACCACTGCACCTCCCTGGGAATGTGTTCCCATCTGAGTTCCCAGTGACAAGAGCCCCATGAGCAAGAGCTGGGATGAGAGTGGAGGTCACCTGCAAGGGATCGTAGGTGGCAGTGTTGCAGCCTGCAGTGAGGCAGGGTGGTAGGAAAAGGGATCATCCTTCCCCAGGGCAAGCTCTCCCCTCCCGGGCTCTTCCTTTGTGCTCTACACTTGCCCTCTCCTGGCTTCAGGCCCAGGGCTGTCTTTAGTTGTGGAGGGAGGCTTCCATCTAGGAACCACCACGCATTTCCTGGGTCTCCCGCACAGGTCTCCTGGGTGCACCCCCGGCTATGCCACTGCTCAACGGACCTGCCCTGTCCACGGCGCTGCTGCAGCTGGCCCTGCAGACCCAGGGTCAGAAGGTAACATGGCCATGGGTCCTGGGTTCCCTCCTCACTCACACATGCTTCCGGTTTCAAATGCTACTTGTGCCTGCCAGTGGCTGCCCTTGGGGTTTTTGGCCATCTGGCCCTGTCCCTGGTGCTTAATACGGGGCCGGCCTGTTGCAGGTGCCCGGGACTCAGGAAGTGGCTTAGTCTGGGAGAGACCTGGCCCCACTGGGGAATAGAGTGGCCTCTTACCCCAACTCCCTCATGCAAAGGCATACAAAAATAGACACATAAACAAATCCATACACTATACCACCTCAGTGCACACACGGAGGTATGTGCACACATGCAGAAACCTGCACACATGCAGGCACGCACACACAGACACCACATCACCCTCGGTGCAAAGACACAAATACATATACACAGAGCCATACTCACTCACTCACTCACTCACTCACTCACTCACTGCCCTGTTTGGTTTGATTCACTGGGGCCAAGTCAGTGACATGAGTATAATGGTAACTGACAGCATGTCAGGTTGTGGGCTTGGACCTTTGTCTGCCTAAGAGACTGACTGAATCCGTGTGTAGCTGAGAATGCTCCCATGATAATCAGCAAGGGGGCTGGGTGTGGGATGGTGGGTGCCAAAGGATTGTCACTGCGTGTATGTCTGATAGTGACTCACAGCGTGGGGTGATAGCCCCTGACTGCCGAATGTATGGGCCATGTTCCCTGGGTCTCTCCAAGATCTCAGGTGGGCCCTGGCATACAGGAGGCCCTTGGCCACCTCTGGCTGGCCAGATGGGTGATAGCCAGGGTGTCACAGACACTGGGGGACACGTGACCAGGCATGAGCTGGAGTCTGGACGTGCTGGGCGTTGGGACTGCCGAGACCTTGGGCAACACCTGTCTGCTGCTTAGGCCACACTGTCCCCATCTCTAGCTGACTGTGCTCTGTCCCCAGAAGCCCGGAATCCTGGGAGACTCTCCCCTGGGCACCCTCCAACCTGGGTCCCAGCCGGCCAACCCCCTCCTTGGGGAGCTGTCTGCAGGTAACAGACCCTGCCCTGTCGTCATCTCTCGGGGCCCATCTGTTTCCCCTTTATTCATTGGTAAACTTCCAGCTGTATGGCCTTGGACAAGTGACCTAACCTTTCTGGGTCTCAGTGCCTGTCAGCCGGGCACCCACCTCCTGGGGGCTTCCATGAGGATTCTGGGAGTTGATGCACTTAGAGGACTCTGCTCAGTGTGCAGCGCATACTCGTCCCTTGCCTGCTCACCGTCATCCAAGCAGAAGCTCTAGGACCCTGGGAAGGAAGGGTCCTGTATATCTGGGCCACTGACATCCTCCTCTCTGTAGGAGGGGGCCTGCCCCCGGAGCTGCCACCCCGGCGAGGGAAGCCACCACCCCTGCTGCCGCCACTGCTTGGCCCTTCTGGGGGTGATCGGGAAACCATGGGCCTGGGTCCCCCAGCAGCCCAGCTCACTCCATCCCCTGCCTCTGTGGGACTGCTAGGCACTGGCCTCAGAGGCCTCCAGAAAGACAGTGGACCTCTGCCAACGCCCCCCGGGGTAAGGTCCTGCCCTGTGCCCAGCACTATTCCAGCTGTCTGCCCTGCAGTGTTACCCCTGTCAGGGACCCTCGCAAATCCAGACCTCTCGCCACAGGTCTCACTGCTTGGGGAGCCCCCCAAGGACTTCCGGATCCCCCTGAACCCCTACCTGAACCTACACAGCCTGCTCCCGGCCAGCAACCTGGCGGGTAAGGAGGCCCGGGGCTGGGGAGGCGCTGGGAGAAGCCGCCGCCCAGCTGAGGGCCCCCTGCCTAATCCTCCAGCCCCCAGAGGTGGCGGCGGAGGCGGTGGCAGCAGCAAAGCCTTCCAGCTCAAGTCCCGCCTGCTCGGCCCCCTCACCAGCGCCCACCTGCCCCCTGAACCAGGGCTCCCTGACAGCTATGGCTTCGACTACCCCTCAGTGAGTATCCGCCTGCCCTGTGGTCAGCCCTCCTGAGGGCTGCTGCTGTAGCCCTTTGTCCCCTGGGAGCAAGTCATTCGCCAGACCAGTATTTCTGTAGTATTGACTGTGCCAGGCCAAGCATTAGGGAGACAGTGGGGAACATGTCAGACATAGTCTCTGCTCTTCAGTCTCTTGTCTCTGTCTCTGTATATCACACCTTGCTTCCTGTCTGTCTCTCCCCCAAGAGGCCTTAGGCTGCACTTCTGCTTCTCCTTAGAGACAGGGCTCAGCTTTGTGTCTGTCTCTTTGCCCTTCTCTCTCTTCGCCCCTCTGAGAGCCCTGTCTCTGCCCCTGGGGAACTGTTCCTTCTGTGACTCTGTCTTCCAGGTCAGACGTTGCAGACTGGCCACTTCCAGGTCCCCTGTGTTATGTTTGGCCTACACTGGATTATAAAAAAATAACAACTGAAATAAATGCCGATACCACCATAAGCGTATAAACACTGCACGTGTTCACACAACCCTGATGCTCAGCTTGCCCTGAAAACTCCAAACACCTGGCCCCGCTGGGGTCACCTGACTTCATAGCAGTCATGTCTGGGTCTGAGGTGGAACCACCCCCTGGGACAGAGCACATCCTGTCTTACTGCCCCACACCACAGGCCGAGTTTGCCCCATACACTAGAATTTGTCTTCTGCTGGAAGGGGCAGCCTTCCCTAATGACATCTGTGCTGGGGAATTCAGCGGGGAGTGAGGCTGGTGCAGATGCCAACCCAAAACACTTTCCCTCTCTTTCAGGATGTGGGACCTAGGCGGCTCTTCTCCCACCCACGGGAGCCAGCCCTTGGCCCTCACAGACCCAGCCGACACAAAGTAAGAGCTGCCCTCTGAATCCTACCTCCCGGGTGTATCGGGTAGCTTTTGCTATGTGACAGGTGGTCCTACCACCTTGTGGCTTAGAACAGCAAACATTATTATTTCATGCCATTCTGCATGGTGGTGAGTGGGTGGTTCTCTGCAGTCACCTTGCAGCTCAGCTGGGGTTCAGCCGTTCATAGTGACCTTAGTCATATATGTGGTGGTCAGCAGGCTGGTGAATGGGCTTTGACCGGGGCCCCAGCTTCGATGGTGTTTCTGCTCCATGTGGAACTCACCATCCAGCAGGCCAGCCTATGGTTCCCCAGAGGCAGAAAGGAGGGCAGGCCCCTGTGCTTGCATCTTCATGCTGTCTTATTTGCCAAAGCTAGTCATATGGCAAAGCCCAGAGTCATTTAGGGGTGGTTTACAAAAGGGGCTGGATAACGCAATAGCCCGCCTTACTGAGCTGGCCCCCTCTCTGCAGATGTCCCCCCCACCCAGTGGCTTCAGCGAACGGAGTGGCGGGGGCAGTGGGGGATCCCTCTCTCATTTTTATTCGGGCTCGCCCACTTCCTACTTCACCAGCGGCCTGCAGGCCGGCCTCAAGCAGAGCCACCTTAACAAGGTGAGGAGCCTCCCCCAGCTGAGCACAGGTTCTTAGGGACAGCCAGGATACAGGGGACCCCTGTGGCCCTCTCAGTGCCTAGGTCAAGGCTAGGGTGGTGGCAGGGGTCAGCTTTGCTCAGGGCCCAGCTGAAACAGACCATCCTTCCCGCGCCCGGGTACACCCCAGTCTTCTGGGCCTCCGCTCACTTTCCCAGTAGCCCAGAGGGTGGGGTGGCATTAGCCCGAGTAGACAGATGAAAAAAAACTGAGGCTAAAAGAGGGGGATTAATTCGTCTGCAATCACATGGCAAGTTAAGAGACAGGATTTGAACCCGATGCCCTGGCCTTTGCTCTGACGGATGTTTCCTCTCCCATCCCATCTCCCATTTCTGCCAGGCGGTCGGTTCCTCCCCACTGGGCTCCGGAGAAGGGCTCTTGGGCCTCAGCCCTGGGCCCAATGGCCACAGCCACCTGCTGAAGGTACGGGCAAGGGGTGGGGATGCAGGGCTGGGGTAACCCCCTCCCCCACAGTGGCCCCTGACTTGCCACAACCACCCCTTTGTCTCTAGACGCCACTGGGTGGCCAGAAACGCAGCTTTGCCCACCTGCTGCCCTCGCCAGAACCCAGCCCAGAAGGCAGCTACGTGGGACAGCATTCCCAAGGCCTTGGCGGCCACTACGCAGATTCATACCTGAAGCGCAAGAGGATTTTCTAAGGGGCCAGTGCCAGAGATCCTCCGGGCCTGCACCAAATCGCTTTTGGATTTTCTGGTGTTTTGTGTTTTGTTTTTGTTTTCCTTTCAGTAATAGAAAAATCTCTGAAAGACTTTGCTGACCAACCAGCTGGAGCCCAAGGAGCATGGGAGAATCTGGAGGCCACTCTGCATCTCTGGCCTGCTCCTGGCCTGGAAACCCTGCAGCCTTAAGAGAGAGTGCAGCCGGGCCCCTTTCTGCCCTCCCCTGTGTCTGCCTACATCTGCCTCTCTGGGAGTCCTCTCCTGCCTTGTCGCTCCTGTATCTCGGCCTTTCGAGTGCCTTGGAGGCTTCCCTAGCCTCCCGTGAGGATCAGAGACTATCCCCCTTTTTTAACTTTGACAATTGACTTTTGTTTCCTTTTCTAATTTTTATTATTTTTTAAACAATCCAGGATAACCCCCAGCTCTTACACCTACAAGGTTCATCATGTCTGGGCCTCCATTCCACACTCTTTGGTTTGAAATGGCTCAGTCCTTTTCTCTTTCTCGCATGTCTGCTGCAGGCATGGCTGTCTCCCGCCCCTGCCTGCCCAGTCTGGCCTGTGCTCCAGCTCTGGGTGCCCTCCTCCTTGCCACACTCCCCTTGCCTTCTGATGCCTTAAAGCTGGGCCCCAGGCCCTGCTGGCCAGAGCCTCTCAGATGCCAAGCTCTGGAAGCTTGACTCAGGACCAAACAGCTCTGGCCTGGGGATTGGGCCCCTCCGCCCAGGGTCCCCACCCTGGGGACAGTAGAAGGCCAAAGCCTTGGTCATGGCAAACCATCTCCACCATCCCTCTGCCCAGGCCTAGGTGCAGAGACAGGCTTTCTCTGCCAGCTGAAACTGGAGCCTCTGCTGACTCCCCCTTGCTGAAGATGAGCTCCACCTCCCCGCCCCCAGCCCAGGTCACCTGGAGCTGGCCTCCCCTTGGCCCATTGCTGGGATCCAACAACTCCATGCAGATAAATTCTGCCCCTGCCCACCAGCAGGACATATTAGCCTGAAGTGATCCTGGGCCCTGCCCCTGACCTGCTAGGCCACCAGCTTCCCTCTCCTCACTCTGGGGGTCTACATCCACTTCAGGGAGTTCCCCTATCCTCTCACACAAACCTTTGCTGAATTAAAGTTTGTAAGTAAATGGTTTTAAAGAAAGCAGAGCTGGCTGGTTCTTGAGACAATGGGCCTGCGTGGCGGGGGGCGGGGGTCTGGGATGGTCCCCGCAAGCCTTGGTGCGTCGGAGATTGCCACTGCCCCCCACGCCTAACCCTCGCAGTTTCTTCCCCGCACAGACGTCCGCGTTGGTATTGAGGTAATTATGGGTCTTTCTGTGCGCCACAGCGCATGCCCTGTTCCGGGTCACGTGATGCCTGTCATGGCCGCCTCCGTAACCCGAGGCGGCGCAAATGCCGGGTTCTTGCTCCGGGTGGCCAGGGGTCCCTGGTGGAGCCGATCCGGGGGCTTTTGGGGATCCGGGGAGGCGGCGGCGCCAGCGACAGCCAGGAAATTCCGGGTGACAGGTATCTGGGGGCGCCTCGGTGGGGCGGGGAAAGCAGCATTAACCGTCGAATGCCCACAGGGCTCTGTGCGTAGCTCACCCAACTGTTTTCTAGGCTCGTGCTCAGCCGCGGAGGAAGAAGCCAGCGGCCCCGAGCGGCCTGGGGACGTGTGAGTGGGGGGCCCAAGTCCCCCATTCCTCATCCCACGAGGTTTTTCTGGTCCCCACCTTACCCTCCAGCCTCATCCTTGGGTACCCCTCAGCTTCGTCCAATATCCCTGTCCGTCAAGCCCAAGCCCTACTTCCTAACCGTAGATTCCACGGGAACCCTGGGCCATCATCCATTTCGGCATTCGCATCCCTGTCTGTCCCCAGGGTGAACGTGGTGTTCGTAGACCGGTCAGGCCAACGGATTCCCGTGAGAGGCAGAGTCGGGGACAATGTTCTCCACCTGGCCCAGCGCCATGGGGTGGACCTGGAAGGTGGGAGCCAGGCACAGGGAATTTCGGAGACCCGTATCGTTCGTTAAAAAAACACAAATCAGATGTGTCCACTGATTAATCTTCCCATGGCTTCCCACCAGTCCTGGGCTAAAACCTAGATTTCTCACCACTGCCTAATACTCTGCCAGCACTTAATGTTCACTCCCGCAGCATGTGTTTATTGAGCATCTATTAGAGGTTCCTAAAACTGCCCTCTGGGAGCTTGTATTGTCTTTCTCCTTCCTTCCTCTGTTCTAGCCACACTGGCCTTCTTGCTATCCCCCAAACTGCCACCAATCATTCCTGCCTCAGGACCTTTGCATTTGCTTCTCCCAGGGTATGAAGTGATTTTTCACCAAATCGTCTGGTTTCTTTTCATCCTTCAAGTCTAAATGTAAATTTCATCTTCCTGACCAGTCTCATCACCCAGTCCCTCTCATATTATTGTGCTTTATTATTATCCTAGCACTTCTCACCGTTTTGTTTCCTTCTTTGTCATCTCTCCCCAGAAGGAGATCAGAAATACTGTTTGCCTTATTCACACATATCTGTTGCCCATATGGCATTTCGATACAACAGGTATTAAATCAATATTTGTTGAAGGAAAGATAATAATAGCAGACATTACTTTAAGCATGTTAACATATATTAATTAACTGATTAACTCTTCATGACAACGTTGTGCAGTAGGAGAGATGATCTCATTTTATAGGTGAGGAAATTGAGCCCCAGGTCACGTAGACCTGGTCCAAGGTGAAGTGGCAAAATTAGATTCAAACCCAGCCAATTTTAGCCATTAACCCTGTCGTGTTCTTCTGTGAATATTGAACACTACTGTGTGCCAGGCAACAATGTACAAAATAGGTAAGACATGTCATTTCACACTATTCCAACCTAATAGGGAATAGATATGTGATTATGTCATCAGCAACTGAGAAGGGTGGTCTTAAAAACTGTATGGGGTTATTTGTTAGGTGAATGTAATGGGGACCGATTTAATCATTAGTGGGGTGGAGATGTCGGGGGGTCTGGGACGGGTCATGGCAGGCCTTCCTCAAGTTTTGTTCTGGAATCCAGTGGCTGGCAGTCCAGGACACAGATTGGAACATGAGTCTTAGAGGCAAGTGGCCTGTGTTCACATTTTGCCTCTTACCAGCTGTGTGACCCTGAGCAAGTTACTTAGCATCTTTGGGCCTCTGTTTTCTCATCTATAAAATAGGATAATTTATGTCTATCTTGCTGGGTAGCTATGAAAGATTAAACAGATGTCACGTGTAATGCTTAGTACCTGACACGTAGTTCGTGTGCAGTGACTAGTTGGGACGTTTATATTAGATAATCTTGTTCTCAAGGGATAGGGATGCCAGCAAGGTGGGAAACAGGATTGAGAAGGGGAAGCCGGAGACTACTTGGAGTTTCGAGCCAAGTTTCTCCCTAGGAGACAGGGAGGTGCTGCTGGGTCAGGAGGCTCGCTTGCATCTCCACCCTCATTGTCCAATATGTCTGGAAGAGAAAGGAGAAGTCCATCCCATCATTCACTTATAACAGATGTCTCTTGAGCATCTACAACATACTGGGCTCAGTGCCAAGTACAGAGAGAGATGGACAGGGACAGGTAAATCTAGAGATTAACATGGTAACTTCAGACTGATAAGTGCTGTACAGAAATTAATGAGTAAACAAGGGGGAAGGAGAAGAAACAGGAGGTGGGGGACTTGGAGGACAGCAGAGTTCCTGAATACAAGATCTGGCCATGGAAAGAGTGGCAAGAAGAGTAGTCCAGGCCTTGGGTGTAGCAAGTGCAAAGGTCCTGTGGTGTTGGAGTTGAGCGAGGGGGCGGGCCGGTGTGGCTGATGTGGAGTGAGTGGGGTGGTAGGAGGATCACCAGGACTGAGTGAAGGAGTTTGGATTTTATTCTGGCTGTGAAAACCCTTTGGAAGGTTTTAGTCCAGGAGGGCCATTATCCCCAAGCACAGTCCTCAGTTACCAATCAGAAGGCTGGGAGTGTGTCCAGAGACAATCAGAAAACCCCAGCTTCTGAATCTTTCAACCTTTTTTCCCTGACTCCTTCCCCTAATGCACTGGGTGCTGAGTGAGCCAGTTCCTCCTTCAGGAGCAGAAAAGAGGCAGGAACACATTTGCCCAGCACGGTGACAGGGTCACAGCAAGGGAATTCAAAGGCTATATGGGACCTGCCTGGCCTTTCCCCTCAGCTACACTAAAGTCAAGTCCATGCTGGTTAATGGTCCTTGTCCTAGCCTGGTCCTCAGCTTGCCGGGGAGTTCTTGGGAAATGGGCACCCTGGACATCACTTTGCAAAATCTCTCTGTATCCTGGGAACAGCCACCTGAGTAGATGACAGAGTATAGGACACACAATGGGTATGCAGGCCTGGGAGGGAATGATTAGGGGCACGTACTGAAACACGCCTTTCACTGGATGGCACCAGCCTGATCATGCCACTCACCTATGCTCCCTTCACTTGCTGCCCCCTAGGGGCCTGTGAAGCTTCCCTGGCGTGCTCTACCTGCCACGTGTATGTGAGTGAAGACCACCTGGACCTTCTGCCTTCTCCTGATGAGAGGTGAGCGGGGCACCTCGCTTCCAGCTCTGAGCCGTAGGGTGGACTATTGAGCCTTTTTGTTCCTGAATCCAGAGGCCCACTGGGCAGCCCCAGCTTTTCTCCCCTTTCCAGCTGCTGGCACGTGCACTGCCCCTAGCTACTTGCCCTGGACTCTGTCAGCCTGCCCCTCCCTGGCCTGAGAGGTGCCCTCTCTCTGCCCTTCTGGACCCTCTAGCTGCACCAGCTTGCGCACTGCTAACCACTGCCTCCCTTGCCCAGGGAGGATGACATGCTGGACATGGCCCCCCTTCTCCAGGAGAACTCCCGGCTGGGCTGCCAGATCACGCTGACACCCGAGCTGGAAGGGGCTGAATTCACCCTGCCCAAGATCACCAGGAACTTCTATGTGGACGGCCACGTCCCCAAGCCGCACTGACATGGGCAGCTAGACCATCCTAGACACCCATGGACCCCTGGGCCAGGACTGGAGGAAAAGCCAAAGTTGCCGGCCCAGCCCAGAGCACGGGCAGGCCCGAGGGACATGTTGGAAGCACCAAGGAGACCAAATGCTTCAGAGAGATCCCATGTCCAGGCTCTGGTGGGAACAGGGCCCCTGCTGGGGCCGCGCCTCCAAGCCCCTAAGAATCTGAGTGTGGATGGGGTTGGAATCTAATTAGAGGGACAATAAAACCGTCTTACAGAACTGCAGCTTCTTGAGTATCCTTAGCGGGGAGGGTGTGCAGCCCCCAGGCCCACAACTGCATCCTCTAGGCCCTCAGCTCTCCCCTCCCTCAGCAGCGATGGGGCCAGCGGGGAAACCGAGGCACAGGCCTGGAGGACAGGAGCCTGGGAGCCTGAGCACCCACGTGCTCAGCGTGGCAAGGCCCCGCCCCTGCAACCGCGGAGGGATTTGAAGGGGCCCAGGCTGCCTTGGGACACCCGGGGTTGTACAGGCCACGGGAGCGGGAGCGGAGTCGCGGAGTCTAGCGGAATCGGAGGGGAAAGAAGGGCCTGGGCTGGCCTGAGGGGCGGGGGCAGGCTTCCGGCATCGACCCGCCCCACCCAGGTGGGGTTCATTGCCCCCTCCGCCTGAAGCGCGCCTGCACCTTCCGCACCTCCCAGGGTTCGCTTCACCCAGGTGGCGCTCATCCGTGGGCCCGCGGGGGCGGGGCAAAATTAGGGAAGGGGGCTGGGGCATGATGGAGGCCAAGCCAGCATCGGATCTCTCGATGATGCTGCAAGAACTGCTGGCGCCATCCTGTCTGGACCCCGAGCCGCTCCCCGGACCCCCAACTCAGCAGGCGCCAAGCACCCCAAGATGCCTCAGACCCAGTGGCAGGTGCGTTAAGGAGCCGCCCCTTCCCCCAAACTAGCCCAGTGGTCAAGGGGTCATGACCTTTGGTTCCTGGGGTTATTCAGGGGTCACAATGTTAGTTACTGGTACTTACAAAGAAGAGGTTCTGACCCCCATGGGTACATGGGGTCATATGTAGTCAGAGGCCATGCACTAGCCCTTGCCCCATGTTTCCCAGGCCTATGTAGGTGCTGCCCAGGGACGGGGGTGACCACATTGCCCCTTGTCCCCAGGTCCTTCTGGCCTACACGTCAGGACTCGGTCACTACCCTGCGCTTCCTCCAAGAAACAGCAGAGGGGCTGGCCCAGCCCCCTGCCCAGGATACCCAGGCCCTGGGGCCCTGCTGGGAGCTGAAGGCCCTGGGGGTGCTGGGACCCCCACCTCTGGCCAGGGATACCAGGGCCATGCTGACCCCAATCAGCCAACAACGAGGTGGCCTGGGGCCTCTGGGGACTCCCTCGGCCCCTTCAGCTCCATCCCGGAGGAGACCCCGGAAGCAGTCGAACCCGCACCAGGGCGCCGAGAAAGTGGACCCCCAGTTCGAGGGAGTGACCATGAAGTTTCAGATAAAGCCGGATTCCAGCCTGCAGATCATACCCAGCTACAGGTAGGAACCTGCCCCAGCGAGGGCTCCCTTTATGCCGTTCATGGTTATGGTGGGGACAGAGGCCTGTGGAGAGGCACCTCCAGGCCTGGGCTCACAGTCTCCTCCACCAGCCCTGCAATACGAATGGCTCAGTCTCTGAGCAAGCCCGGGGTCAGCCACCGCCCCGATGCCAGAGCCCGCCATGTCCCAGTCTGAGCCTTGGTCTCCTCTGTGTGAGCAGGGCCTGACCAAACTGAAGGCTGCTGCTACCATTATTTTTTCCAATAATGATAAGAGCTATCATTTGTCAGGAACAACAGTACGAGGTAACATGCAGCATTTGATGTGCATGGGTTCGCTGCAGCCCTGTAAAGCCCATTTTAGAGATTTGGAAACTGAAGCACTAAAGGAGACATCATTTGTCCAGGATCACACAGCAAGGGCAGGGAGAAATGGGACTTCGACCTGGCAAGCTGGCCCCAGGCTTACTACCTCTTCAAATTTATTATTATTACTATTATTATTATTACTATTATTACTACTACTACCAATGAGAGAGAAAGTCAGGCCTTTCAGACAACAGATGCCTCCTGAGGGATGCCTGATATCTTTTCTTTTCTTTTTTTTAATCCTCACCTGAGGACATGTTTATTGATTTTCTTTTCTTACTGATTTTAGCGGGTGGGGGGAGAGGACCACTGATGTGAGAGAGAACAATTGGTTGCCTCTTGTATGTGCCCCAACCGTGGATCGAACCCTCAACCTTTCGGTGTACAGGACAATGCTCCAAGCAACTGAGCCACCTGGTCAGGGTGTGCCTGATATCTTGATAGTAAATCTTCATTTTGGGAGGCTTTATGGGACAGGATGCAGATCCCCCAGTACTAATGCCTTGTCTGCTCCCCAGCCTGGCCTGCAGCAGCCGCTCTCAGGGTCCCCCTACAGGCCCCGCTGGGGCCCCTGAGGCCAACCTAGGAGGCAGCGAGGCCCTGGGTGAGTCCTGGAGACATGAGAGCTATAAATATGGGGGGTGGGGGGCAACCTTCTATCTTTACTGTCTTTCTCCCCATCCTGCTTCTCCATTTAGACCCATCCAGGATGAGTCTCAGTGCCCCCCTTCACTCTGCTGAGTCACCCCCCACCCCCGGCTTCCTCCTCTGCGGAGCTTTGCCATCTGTCTCCCTTCCTGGCTTTCCCTTTGTCTTAGATCTGGCAATACCAGGGGCTGGCCCGGAGCCAGGTGGGGACTTCACAGAGATCCTCCCAAATTTCCCCATCCCACACAGGCCCTCTGAGCTGGGGTTCTAGGCCTCTGACCCCTGCCCTTTGGCCTCTACCCCTTCAGGGCCCCGGCGCTGTGCTTCCTGTAGGACCCAGAGAACCCCACTCTGGAGAGATGCCGAAGATGGGACCCCCCTGTGCAATGCCTGTGGTATCAGGTCCGCAGGACAGAGGAGGGAGTTGGGGTGGGGTCCCCAAATTGGCCTGTGCAGCTAGCGTGGGGTATGAGGAAGGGAAAACACCCACCGTTGGGAAGCGGTCTCCTAGTGTGGTTTCTGTGCCCCTGGTGCATCCTGACGTTGGTTTTGTACCCTTAACCCAGGTACAAGAAGTACGGCACCCGGTGCGCCAGCTGCTGGCTGGTGCCCAGGAAAAATGTCCAGCCCAAGAGGTTATGTGGCAGATGCGGGATGTCCCTGGGCCCCCACCAAGGCCCAAGCCAGGAAGGGTAAGCCCTTCCTTACCCAGCCAAGCCTATCCTGCCTCCATTTCTCCAGGGGGAGAGTGGGAAGAAGCCCTCCTCGGAGGCTTGGGGAAAGAGCCTGGCTCTTGCGGGCTCCAGCCCGCCTCCTCTCTGCCCTCTCCCCATTCAGGGACCCCGGGCAGAAGACTCAGGCCTCAGCCCCCAGAGCCTCTGTCTCAGCGGGCCGCTGGCCCTCTCCTTGGCCCCTGCTCCACTCAGGCTTGGCTGAGCTCCCCTCAGGAAATGTAGTGCCATTCACGCTGTTTGTTAATAGCAGGGACAATAAAGAGCAGAACTATTCAGAGAATGACTGCTGTGACTAGGGGATCCCGCCTCATGTGCCCTCACCTGCCACTCCCCCAGCCCCAGAATGTGGGGCAGGCTTACTGGGGTCCTGAGGGACACACACAGTCGTATATATAAAGGCACCAGCCCCCCACAGGGGATTAGCCACCACACACAGAGACAGACAACACATGCATCCCCACACAAGACACACATGGACAGACACATATGTACTGACACTCACATGAGACAAGCACACACATAGACCACACACGAGACCGAAAGATAGATGGGTTGACAGACACATATCCACTGATACATGATCAAAATGCATGTCAATAGACGCACATAACAGCTACACGTAGACAATACAGACACACGTCAACAGACACACATGAAACACCGACGACACACATTGGCATACGGTGATAAACGCAAGTGGGCCATTTATTTGTCAGCTCCACCCCTGCCTGTAGAATGTCACCTTTGTGCATTCTTACAGACACCAGTCCCTGCTGTGTCCCCCTCCCACTCTTTCAAGATCTCTAACCCTACCAAAGGGTGTCCCCAGACTGAAGCCAAAAGCCACGTGGGAAAGGCAAGACATGGGCAGAGCTCAGCCCTGCCGCTGCTGCCAGGACACACTGACTGCCAGTGCTGCTTCCCAGGAGGGACGGAGGGGTGGGAGTCCCGGAGCTGGTCCCTGCCTTGGGGGTCAGTGAGACCTGCCTGGCCACACACACCAGAAAGGCAAGTCCCTGCAAGACCCCCTTTGTCTCTCCCAGGGTGGGCCTGTACAGAAGGCCCGGGCCCACATTCCTCAGCCCTCACATCTCTGACTCATTTGGTCCCTTCCTTGGTGCAGAACACTCGCCCCTCCATGACTCCGATAGGAGCGGCCTTCTCACCACTTGGGGAAGAGAGGTTCAGCTTTCAAAGAAGCCCCCCCCCTTTACAACCTGGTCTAGAACAGACACCCCATTCGCACCCATGGCAGGCTCAGGTCCAGCTTCTTGCCGGTCTCCTGCTTAGAACTTACCAGAATTTTCAGATCTCTACTTCTCCAGGGTCATTTCTTTCACATTCCTCTCCCCCACTGGACCATGACTACAACGCTCCAAGGTTACCGCCACATCTGTGTCCCTAACCATGACAAGCCACCCCAGTGTCCAGCACGGAGAACTTCTTCAGGAACACATACTGAATACATGAAGGTCTCAGACTGTGTCTGCAAACTCCTGGCTATTTTTAGCCATTTATTCAACATTTATTGAGGAACTACTATTGTGCCAGGTCCCAAGGGGGACATTGCATGGTGAATAGAACAAAGACCCCTGCTCTAGTGCAGTCAATATTCTAGAGTGACAGTAAAGAAATATTCAGTTATATGCCTAATAGCATGTCAAGCAGTGATCGGTGCTACGGGGGAGGGGGGGCGGAGTATAGGAGATAAGTTGTTGGGGGGCTACCTTAGCCATGGTTCTCAGGAAGGCCTTTCAGAGGAGGTGGCATGTGCATAGAGCCCTGAAGATAAGGAACTAGCTATGGGACTATTTGGGGTGAGGACCCTCCAGACAGATAGAATGGCAAGAGCAAAGTCCCTATGGCAGGCAGGACTTTGGGGTGGGTCAAGGAACCTAGAGGAGGTGGGTGGGAGTGGAGAGAGGTTCCTGAGTGGGTCGGCCAGCAGGGGCTGCACCACGCTTGCTCCTCATTGCCTTCTGCACTGGGCACCCAGCACTGGCTTGGACTCTAGTGTCCCCATTTCCTGCCCTCGCCTTTGTTCGTGAAGTGTTTGCATGGGCAGCTGATGGAGCTGTCCAGGCCTGCTTCCTGATCTGCAGCTCTGTTCCTGCTTTGGGGGGAGGAGAAGACTGAGGGGGCCGGAGAGGAACACAGCTGTTCTCTCCTTATGCTGTAGGGAGCGAGGGGGGAGTGGTGTGCAGTGGGGGTTGCAGCTAATACCCTGTGTGTCTGTTCTGGATCATGATGGGCCCAGTCTAAAGGCAGGTTGGGGGTAAACTGAGGCACTGAATGAAAGAAGCATTGAGACTGGGGCAGGGATATCCTGGGGGCTGACACCCATCGCTGCAGCCACTGCCTTCCTTGATGTGGTCGAGGCCTCAGGGCAGGATGCCCAGATCCCTGAGAGGGGCGTTTGACCCTGGGAGGGGGGGTTCCATCCTTCCCGGGAAGGCAGGCTCAGCTCTGCCCGGAACCAGGCCTGGGGAAGCACCTAGCTTCCACCCACAAGAATGAGCAGGATTAGAGGGCAGTGCTGGGCCTTAGAGATAAGCAGCAAGGAGTGGGAGGAAGGAACACAGTCCCTTCCCTGGCCCAAGGGTCCAGTGAGAGCAGGAAATTGGGAACAGAGAGGAGCTCCAGGACACATCATGCAAAGACACCTTGGACTGTGCCCAACACACAGTAGGCCCTCAAAAACAAAAAGGTTTTTGAATGAATAATCCATGGGGTTGAGATTCAAACGCTGGGCTGCTTCCACATCACAAAGACAGACACAGACCCAGAGTCCTTTATAAAAATTTTATTGGGGGGGAGGTTAGAAAATGGGGGTGGTGCCCTGGAGTTGAATACATAAATAAATGAATGAGTAAATAGAACAAAAATAAGCCCCTTGTATGTGTCTGGGGGTGTCCCCCGGCCTGCGGGGAGTGGGCAGTGGACTCAAGTTGATGTCAGCTGAATGGCGAAGACCTCACCCCCCTCCAGCGCCTCTGCAGTGCCCTCAGGTTCTGGTCCACCTTGGGCACCGGCACCACCGCCCGCACCATTGAGACAGACAGCCTCACCCGAGCTCTCAGCTTCCTGCACGTTATACTCGCCCTTCTTGCAGGCGGTGGACTGCACATAGAAGGCCAGGCCGGCCCCCGCGGCCAGCAGCGCTGCGCCCCCCACCGCACCTCCCACGGCGACCCACAGCCACGGACCTGCGGGGTGGAACCCCTCAAAGAGGGTGGACGAGCTTGGGGTTCCCCCCACCCTGCTGAGATGCCAAGCCCCAGCCATCCCCAGTGCTGGTGCAACCCATGACCCGTTGTACATGCCACCCAGCACATGGGGATAGAAGCCCCTGGCTGATCAGAGGTACCCATAAGTAGTCAACTCTCCCCACCCCCAAAACCATGAGGGTGTGTGGGGGTGTCATTCTTCTACCTCAGAAACCATCAAGCCTCAGAGTGACAGGAAGTGGGGAAAGGGGTCTTGTTAAGGGCCCCCAACTCCCATCCTCTGCCCTTGGTCCCTCTATACATTGACACAGTGGAGGGCGAATTGGGCCAAATCCCGAACAGGCAGAAACCCTCCCTGCAAGTTAATAAATAATTCCCCACAGCAGTCACGGCTCTGGAGGGCTCCTCCCCTTTCAGTTCACTCAGCTCCCTCTCCCTCCGCCTCCCACCCCCAACCAGCCATCAAAGCCCCAAACGCCTCAGGACGCCTCTGACTTCTACCCTGGCATTCTTCAGTCTCTTCTGTGGGGACTGAGAGGGAGGCAAGAGTAGGGTCAGGTGTCCCCAGGCGCAGGCCACACCCCAGGTGCCACTTACCAGCCACACGCACTGTGATGCGTCGCACGTGGCGACCATGCGCATTGGTGGCTGCGCACTCGTACTCGCCTCCGTGGCTGCCTAGGGCGCCTGCTACGCTCAGCGTGCTGTTGTTGCTTGATAGGCCTATGTTGAGTGCCCCTGGGGGCGCACGCCAGCTGATCTGGGCAGGGGGCCAGGCCTCGGCGCGGCAGGTCAGCGTGAAGTTCCCGCCTGGCCGCACACCTCCCGGGGGCGAGGCGGCCAGCTCGGCCACCACTGGCCGGTCTGCAGAGGACCGGAGATTGTCAGAACTGGCTCTGAGGCTGACAAAGTGCCCTGCTTCCGCCCACCACGATCTGAGACCACCCCTGCTTGGATGCGCAGGCGAGGATCCTGCCTCCCATCAGAGCCCCCTTCCCCTACAATCTGGCTGTAGTAGGTACTAAAATTCCGCGCCCTTCTTCACCGAATAGGAGGAGGTGGGGACCCGCGCCCGTGCCCTTCTGACCCAGGACTTGAAGGGGCTGGTTTCCTGTTCCCCAGAGTTTTCACTGTCCTCGAGTTTAGGCCGGATCCCTTGTTCCTGAGAATGGGACTGGGGGAGGTGCCCTTGAACTCCCCTATGCAGTCCCCCTGCTGAGAGTCCCTGTTCTGGTGCTGCCCCCACTCACATTCCACGCCCACGGTAATGGTCCGAGCCTCCGTGCCATGCTCATTGGTGGCCAAGCAGAGGTAGGTGCCCGCATCCTGTCGGGACACATGCAGCCGCTGACGCCAGGGGGCGCCCTCCCGGGAGCAGCTCACTTGTGGGGAGGGGCGACCCAGGGCGGCGCAGGCCGGAACGGCAGCCTCCGCCCCTTCCAACCACGTCTGGTGACTCGGGCAGGTGGACTCATCCATTTTCGGAGGCGCTGCAAAGTAGCCATGGCCGGGGGTGGGGTTATCAGGGAGGGGCCAGACCGGGACACCCCCTACTCCCACCCACCTGGGCCTTCCCGCTCACACTCCACGTTCACAGCCACCATCTTGACCATGGAGCCGTGCTGGTTGGTGGCGTTGCAGGTGTAGATACCAGAGGCAAGTTCACTAGGGATGCTAGGGGCTCTGACACTAGGATCTGGGGGTGCCAGCGGCAGCAGCACCCCTTCACTGGTGCCCCTGGAGCCAATGCACTCCACTCTTGGTTGTGGCTTCCCATCAACCTCACAAGAAAACAGCCGTCCAGATCCTTCCACCCATGTCCAGTTGCTGGGGCAACGCAGCTCCTCAAAACTGGGACCATCTGGGGAGCAGAGGGTCCCGCAGACACTGAAAGTCAGGCCAGGGTTACCCAGACATACCCTAACTTGTCCCTTGCTATCTTCACTCACATTCCACCGTGACAGCCACATTTTTGGCTGCAGAGCCCCGAACATTGATGGCTTCACAGCGGTAGGTGCCTGCGTGCTCCCGGGCCACGCGCAGCAAGCCCTTGATGACCTTGTCCTCCCCAGAGCGCACACAGCTCACGTTGGGTGGTGGCATCCCATGTGCCACACAGCTCAGGGAGGCCTCTGTTCCTTCCAGCCATGTAATACGTTCCGGGCAGCCCACACTGTCCAGCGCTGGTGCGTCTGGAAAGGGGAGTGTTGCTGGGTTTGAGAATCATTCTAATGTCCCTGGACATTAGAATGTCCAAGGTGGCCATGCAGGGTTGGGCAGGCTATACCCTGCACAGGGACGTTGAACCAAAAGGGTTTCAGGCCATCAAGCTATGTGCTGTTTTGGGGCCTCAGGAGCCACGAGGGGCTACTTGTTTTGATTCCTACAAAGTGCCCACAGGACCCTTCCCCAGTCTTTGGCCTAAAAATTGTTAGATGGCTTGAAGCACACACCTTTCTGAGACTCTGCACGCTCGCACACCCCTATGGACACGCCTACCCCTTCTCTTCCAAGGTCTTCCCCTAATCTGGAATACCAATTTATTTCCTTTCCCAAAACCCTTCGCAAAGGCATCCCTCAGACCCTGCTCCTACTCTTCCCTATAAGCCAGCCACCTCTAGGCACGGAGAATCTGACAGAGATGCACCCTGTGCACCCCCACTCACACTCCACGGTTAGTGTCACGTCCTTGACCGCCTCGCCCTGGACATTGGCTGCGGTGCAGCGGTAAGTGCCAGAGAGCGCGCGAGTGACGGGACCCAGCAGGCCCAGCGCCAGCACTGCCCCGCCGTCGGGCCGGGCGCAGTGCACAGAGGGCGCTGGGTTTCCGCGGGCCTCGCAACGCAGCGCCTGCTCTGGACCCTCTGGCCACGTCCAGCTCCTGGGACAGTCCGACTCGTCCAGCCGGGGGGCGTCTGCGGGCAGAGGCATGGGAGAGAGAGTCTACACGAGGACCGCGAGAAAGGCTCCACTTCCACGACAAGACCAGAAACTGGACAGATCTTTGGAGATCGTGAGGAAGAAAGCGAGAGCTCAACTCACATAGGACTCGCAGTTCGGTGCTCTCGTTCTTGCTCAGGATCTCCCCATCCACCTCGAGGGTGGCGTCGCAGAAGAAGCCACGTCTGTCGTCGTTCACGGTGGCGTTTAGTTGGAGCTGGGCAGGCTGTCCCGGGACCGCGGCTGGAACTCCGTCCAGGGTAACCAGAGCGCCGGCCCCAGCTGCGCAGGTTACAGTCACCGTCTTCCCCTCCGGGACGCTGGGCTCGCTCAGGGTCAAGCGAGGCGCAGGGAAGCCTGCGGGCGGAGCATTTGTCTGGAGTCGATTGACCACACCCTGTCTCTGCTGGAACTCTCAGTGGATACCGAACCCCGCCTCTCGAACTGCTTAGGCTCCTCCCCTTCTCACCCCACCGCTTTGAGGTGGTCTAGCCGGAGACCCTTAGGGCGGCTCAGACTCCACCTCTCCCAGTCCGCATCTCGGGCCCCGCCCACTCTTCGTCCCGCCATCGCGTTCCTCTGGCTCCACCCCCAAGCCAGAGAGGTCCAGCGTCACTCCCCTTACTGTAGACAGTCACGTTCTCCCGGGTCTCACGGCTTTCACCCCCCAGGGTCATGTTGCAGACCAGCTGCCTGGCGCCTTCCTGCTCTGCGCTAGCCGTGGCTGTGGCAATGGCCCTGAGCGCGTCCCCCTCCAGGGTGATATCAGGACTCAGTCTCTGGTCCCCCAGCGCCAGGAAGACCCGGGCCTCGGAGGCTGGAAACAGCCCGTCCAGGGCGCAGCTCACAGGTCTTTCCGAGCCCACTTCCAAGAGCCGGGGGGCAGCGAGGCGCGGGGATTCCGAAGGCAGTGCTGAGAGTCGAAGAAGAGAGTTTGAACTTAACTACTGAACACTCGACATGTATGTACTACGTGCTTTACAAGCACTATCTTATCCTGCTATCCGCGAGACAGAGGAAAATAACTTTCAGCTGGTGAGTGTTGGAGTGAGGATTAAAATTCAGATTTCTTTACCTCCAGACTCCTTGAAGCACCGGGACTCCTCTGCATCCCCTTCTCCCCACACCCACTCACCGAAGGTTCGCAGCTTTCTGGGGGCCGAGCTGTTTTCAAACAGCCCTAGGCCGTGGGGCCGCAGGTCCAGCTCGGCGCGGCACGAGAAATTGGCTCCATGGTCTTCCCTGCGCGCCAGGACTGTGGCGGTTAGCACTGCGCCCCGCGCTCGGGATGGCTCCCCGGAGAAGCTGCGGCGGATCAGCTCCTGGGTGCCCCTCAGCAGAGTCAATGTGAGGCTCCCGCGAGGCCCCGCGCCAGGGACCCTACAGCTCAGGGTGAAGTTCTCGCCCACAGGCTGCCAGGAAGGCAGCGGCACCAGCTCTACACGATCAGGCCGCTCTGCAAGGGAGGAACCAAGACTCTTGGAAACGCGGGTCTCAGCTGTGGATGTAGTGGTACACAGGGGCCAAGAGGGGAGGGCTTGGGAATCCAGAGGATGGAGCCTGAGGGGCGGGCCTCGTGACCCAGGGGGCGGGGCCTGGAAGGGAAAGTAGTGGAGTAAGAGCGTGGCTGCTGAGAACTCACGAAAAGTACGAATGAGCCCACGCGCCTGCAGTGTGCGCCGCGCGCAGCGGAAGAAGCAGACCGGCTGGGTCTCTGGCTCTCGGATGTCCACCAGCTGCCGCGCCAGCCAGCGCAAACCCCTCTGGGTCCCATTCCGGCGCAGCGAGGTCTCCAGGCCACCGCGCTCGGGTCGTGGGCAGTTCGTGCTGCAATTCAGCCACAGCGATCCCCCGCGCTCCACGAGGGCCACGCGGGGCTGCAGGTCCGCCCAGAAAGGCTCCTGAGCGACCACTGCCCGGAGAAATGCGGGCTCAGCATGGGGAGCAACCTCCCTGGCATCTTAGCGCCCCTATGCCGAGTCAGGGATTCCCGGGGAAGGAGAAGAGGCTGGAGTCAGGAAAGAACTCAGGAGTCCCGCGTCCTGCTCAGGCCTCAGGTTTGGAGGTGCGCTCCCAGGGTACAAACCTCGAGGGTGCCTCTGGGACAGGGCAGCGGAGAGCTTTGGTCTCCGAGGTGCCGATGGCGTGATGGGAAAGCATGCGGGAGGATGGAGGATGGTGAGAGAAAAGATGGGGTCTTCCACACACAGCAACGGCTGGCAAGAGGGTACCCCAGACGGGGAAAGGGGAACGAACTGGTTCTCTGGGTTATCACCTGGAGAGGGGGAGACTAAGGTTGAGATGAGAGCAAAGGAGAGATGAGAGGGAATCAAGGATAAGGGAGGATTCCAAACACGGGTGAAGAACACAAAAAGAGGGCGCGGGACTAGGCTCATGGAAGGAGCCGCGGGAACATCGAAGAACTCGGTTGCCAGGGCTCCGGGTGGGGAGGGAACAGCGCCGCTGAGTCACGGCAATTAGGGAGGTCGGGTCTTCGCGGGCCGCAAGTGGGTAAGATTCCAATCCGTGAACCATGGTGCATAGCAAAGCCTGAGGAGGTACCCCGGGAAAGGACAATGGCGACATGGGGTCTCCAGGGCGCGAGATTGGATGAGGAAGAGAACCCAGGATCTCGAAGCGGGTAGAGATCTGGGCGAGCAAGAAGTCGGGAAGCTAGGTCTCCAGTGTGTGTTGGAGGAAGAGAAGAAAGCCCAGGGTTCAAGGTGGGGGCAGAAGCGTGGGAGTGAGGCGAGGGCGGAGCCGGGAGGCGCGTGTGGACGCTTCTCCGGTCCGGGAACTCCGCCCCCGTCCTGTCTACCCGGAGCCGGGACTTGTTCTTACCTGAGAGGCCGATGAGCCCCAGGCCGAAGGCAGCCCAGAGGACGAGCAGCGCCCGGCACAACCCTGGCGAGGGCCCTGGCATCGCCGCCGCAGGGAAAGTACGGGAGGAGAGGGGAGCTCGAGTGCTGAGCTGAGCTCGAGGACGGCGCGGCGGGTGGGGTGTGGAGGAGGCAGAATTGTGCTCTGGGATTGGTTTAACGTTGGTAACTTGGTTTCCAAGGAGGGGGAGGTGGCAGAGGCGACGGCGAGGCGGGAGGGTGAGCGTGCGCCAGGCTCCCTGCCTTGGTGAAGGTGTGCTGGCTGGAGCTAGCGACCCCCGGGGTCTACGTGGAAGCCGGCCCCATCGCCCGGAGCCTTCTGTGGGCGGCTGCAAGCTCCGGCGTCAACCCCGGAGGCGGCGACGCGGAGGTCAGGGGATGGGGGGATGCTGGATTGTCCTTCTCAAACTCCCACTCCACCCCTAGCTTAGATGCTGTGATAAATAGCTGGACTCCACGTTCGGCCCCCGTATTTTGCTCTTCCCACCAACGCCCCTTGGAATTGATTTGTGGGCTAGGAGAGATTTCGGAATAGGATAGGGTAGGCACAGTTCTAGGGGCGGGTGGGATGCCTCCCTCCTATACCCTTCCCTTTTAGATCCCGGGGGAGCTGAGGATTACAGCGCTGCCCCTAGTCCCCCTCTGGCTCCGCCCCCGCACGCCACAGAGGGGGCGGGGACCAAAGTCAGAGAGTCGGGAACACTGGTGCTGGCGCGCAGCGTTCGCGAGCATCTAAATTAGGGTCGGCTCAGCTCCGGGTCTGTATTTACCCAGCTTGCAGCCGGCACGTGTCTCCTCGGCGTGTGCGAGCTCGAGCTGCGGAAGAACGGCCCTGAACTCGTTTTCCGCCCTGTGGGCAGGGCTCTAGACCACGCGGGCCCTGCCCAGCATCCAGTGCGGACTCAGATCGTGTCCATACGAGACCAAGACCAACAGTGACAGTTTTTACCCCACATGTGGGCCCCCAAGTGCCCACCAGGCCCAGTGACTATCAGAACGTTGTCAGAAAGCGAGTCAGTGCCACCTCACCTGGGCCATCTCATCGTCCCTTCCCTGCAGTCAACGCATGGGTACATTTTCTGCGTATCCACGTCCCTCAATTTGTCCATGGGACCCCAACCATTTGAGCTCTTGTCCCCAGCACTAACTAGTGAACTATGGGAATCAGTTCTAGATCCACCCTTGTCCTCCGGGAGAGTGCAAGATCAAGACTGAAAAGGAGGTGGAGGGAAAGGAAGCGTAACACCCAATCAGAGCTGCAGCTTGTTAGTGGCGCAGCCAGTCAGCAAAAACCATACGGTGTGTAGACGCCCAGGCTTTGCCCATCTGCACCACACTGATAGGCCCACAGGAGAGGTGTTTACTACACCGGCTGGAAATGCGCAGGGACTGGGGAGGCCAGGTGGACCAACAGGAGAAAGCCTCGGGTACCTTCAGGGAGACGAGACACTTGGAGAAAGTGATTGTGACAATCACTTTTTAAGCCTTGTGACAAGGCTTAAAAAGACCACTTCCAGGATGCGGTTCATTAATGGGGGACCTTCAGGCCATGGGACAAGCTGGCTGAGGAGTTCTTTATTGATCTAGGCAGAGGCCTCCAAATTGTTCCAGATTCCTTTTTGCTCTCCAGCTCCACCGGCACGGACCACCCCCTCTAAGCCCGGGACTGCATCAGTAGGTACTTTCGCAGGCAGGCCGCCCCCACGGCGAGAAGAATCCCCACAAGTGCTGCGATCGAGGTGGAAACCAAGGCTTTGGACTCAGAGCTCCAATCTGGGGGCAGGAGGTGAGAATTAGAATGGAGCACTTACAGGCGTGGCGACCCACAAGGAGCTCAAGCTCAGCCAACGCACCCTCCTGGGGTCATAGCGCTTCCCCACCCCTCCTCAAGTCCCCCGGATTCCAAGGGCGCCTCACCCAGAAATGCCGGCGCCATGGGTGCTGAGCTGCTGCGGACCACCAGGCCGTCGAGATTGAGGTGCGCGTGGCAGGTCACGAGCTGCCCGAGGTCATCGGGCCTAGCCCGGAACGCGTAAGTCAGTGTCACGTTGGCCAGATCCAGACCTGTGAAGCGCTCCAGGCTCTCTGAGTAGATGACCCGGCCGCCGTGCCGCAGAGTTACCACCAGGAAGCCCACGGGGAACACGTGCGTCACGTGGCAACGCAAAGTGTGCTTACTGCCCTCTAAGACCGGAGGCTCCAGGATCACGCTGTGCGGCCCTTCTAAAGCAAGAGTGGATCTTTGAGCAAGGTCCGCGGGCGCCCCCTAGCGCGACTATCAATAGCCCCATTTCTGTCCCCCTCCCTTGTCCCCAGCAAGGCCTGAACCCATATCCCTCACTGTAGGCGTTGATCTTGGCCGTGGCCCCCCGCGTTACTCCGGCGCAGGTGAGGAAGCAGTGCACGTCGGAGCTCCAGGTCCTTACATCCAGCAGCTGGAAGGAGACCCAGCTGGGTCCGCTGAGCTTCTGGCCGCGCTGCAGTCCAGTATGGAGGGTGGAATTCTCCAGCAGCGGGCAGCTGCTGCTGCAGTTTAGCCACACTGAATTCCCTGGCGCCACGGCCATCACCTTGGGGCTTATGCTCACCCAGAACGGCGCTGTGGTCTCTGAGGGAGCAGGGGAGCTGCCTCCTCCGGGGCTTTGAGACCGCGCGCTTTGGGGCCTCCGCGCGCTCCCGCCTCCCAAGTAGGTTGCCGCCAGCAAAACAAGCAGCGAGAAGAGGAGCAGGAACTCCATGGCAAGGAGCCCGTACTGAGGGACCCCGCGCCAGGAAGCCAAAGCTGGCTGGGTAGATAAGGAAGCCCACAACCCCGCCTCCTCAGCCACACCCGGAGAGACAGAGGCTCCTAGAGGGACGGGAGCCCTGTCATATGTACCCCGCCACCTTCTACTCAAGAATGGGATTCCAGACCCCATTATAAACCAAACGTTCTCGCGTTTTTCCCAGAGAGGGGTCTATAATTTTCCCTGGGGTCTCAAAAGTTCCTAATAAGCCCAGAGTTGGGTCTTGAACAGCAGACTTTTCTTGGGGGACGAAGTTGGACAGGGCTGTGGTAGGGCAACAAGAAAGGGCTCCAGCTAGACGCGGCACCTTCCCTTAACTCACACAAGGCTGAGCCCAATGATAAAGCTTTATTAGCACAGGGGAGAGGCTTCCAGCGCTGGGAGTCAGTCCTCCCCACTGCCTGCAGGACCCTCAGGAGTTTGGAGCTGCCAGAGTTCTGTTCTTAACATTGTCCCATTGAGATGGACACAGGTAGGACAAAGCAGGCGCACACGGGTTGGGCATACTTTCAAGGGAACACATTGTTTATTTTATTGATTTTAGAGAGAAAGAAGAAGGGGGAGAGAGAGAGAGAAACATTAATTTGTTGTTCCACTTATTTATGCATTCACTGGTTGATTCTAGTATGTGTCCTGTCAAGGGACAAAACCTACAACGTTGGCATTTCAGGATGATACTCTAATCAACTGAGCTACCCGGCCAGGGCTGGGCCCCACGGTTTAGCTGAGAGGGAGTGGGCGCTCACATTGAGGCATGCCCCTGAGCATCACTGTGAGCACTAGGAGAGATGCATCTGGGTGGAGGGAGGGAAAGGTCAGCACCAGTGCTGGGGGTTAAGAGCTCCGTGGGCTGTTCCCGGGCATGTCACCAGCTAAACCTTGCTGACTTGCTGGTCCCCTTCTGGAGGAAAGCAGTTTGGCCAATGGAGTGGGAACTTCCACCCAACTTGATCTTTTCTGCAAGGCACTCTTGTGCAGTGCATAGCCAACACAACTGTACCCGACAACCCTGAGTGAGATTAGACCAAGAGGTTCCTGAGGGCAGGAACTTCTGTGTGTCTTGTTTATCATTCCACCCCACATAAAAGGCACTAATAAATATCTGGTAAAATAACAAATGAATAAATATGTCATCATCAAGAGCTAGGACCAGTCAGTAGGCAGCACTGCCTGACAAAGGGTGAGAACTTTGTGTTTCCATGCTGCCTGTGACTGGGCAGGGCCACTTCGCTCTTAGGATCGTAGGGCCTCAGAACATGCAGTCGAGGATGAATTTCAATGTTTTTCAGACGAGTGTCCCCATGTTTGAGGTATATGTCTCCATCACACCTCTCGGACCAGGTCACCTTTGACACCCCAACAGTCATGCCCTTAGCCTTGCCCTGGCGTCCTGGCTCAGTCCTGTGGCTATGAGTCCTGGGAGTCCTGAGTGTGCAGGTGCCATGACTCTAAATGCTGTCTGTATTCTGACTGAGGTCTCTATCCTGTCCTCTCGCGTCCCAGGAAGGTAGGTGCAGCTGAATGGCAGCTGAATGTCCACCACTGTTCAATGTAGCGTTGCTGCCACTGGTGGAGGTCCTGTCCAGGGGCAGGCTCAGGGTGATGTGTTCAGCTTCATGTTATTATACGTTTCCTGGGCCTTCCGTAGCTTGTATTCCCGGATTTTCCGCTGGCGGTTATAGAAGTAAGCAGCTGTGCCCACAGTGGCCAAGATGACTGCAGCTGCCACCAAAACGATGACAACTATGTTATTCTGGTGGTGGTCTGTAGACAGAACAACAGGAGGAGGTGAGGGTTGAGCCAGGCTCACTGCCCCTACTCTGCCCAGCCCCAAACACTGGAACACTCACAGTTCACATTCACGACCACTTCACGAGTGACCTCCCCGCGAGGGCTGATGGCCCGACATTTGTAGGTGCCAGAAATATTCCGCATGACAGGCCTCAGGACCCCAATCGGCAGTGAAGCCCCATCGTCGATCCGGTGACAGTTCACCTTGGGGACTGGGTTCCCCCAGGCCTGGCACTTCAGGGTCTGCTGGGAGCCTTCCTGCACAGTCCAGTTTCCTGGGCAATCACTCTCGTCTAGTCGGGGGCCATCTGGAGAAACATAGTAAGATGAGGGCCAGGATACCCCTCACCACAAGGACTGGAGGACTTAGGTAGGGAACCCAGGGTGCGGATGTGGTAGGCCCTGGAGAACAGGAGCTCGTGGGGTCCCCGGGGCTGGGCCTTGGAGGTTAGGGGTCATTTTCCCGCAGCCCAACTCACACAAGACAGTGAGCTCCTGGGTCTCGTTCTTGTGCAGCTTTGTCCCGTCGACCTTCAGGACAGCAGAGCATAAGAAGCTACGCCCGTTGTCCTCGGCACTGGCATTCAGCATGAACTGGGCACGCGGGCCTGGAGTCCCAACTGGGGCCCCACTCAGTGTCACCACGGCTCTAGGATGGGCCTTGCACTCCACTGTCACCACAGTCCCCTCTGGGACCACCAACTCGCTCAGGGTCAGGTTGGGAGCTGGGAAGCCTGGAGGAGGGGCACACAGTGAGCCCCGCCCCAGCCCTGGCTCCACCCCTCGGAAGCCCCACCCTGGTCTCTACTTACTGTAGACGGTCACCTTCTCCGCAGTCCTCTGACTCTGGTTTCCCAGCATCACTGTACACCTGAGCTGCTGGGCGCCTTCCTCCCCTGCATTCACCTTGGCCCAGGCAGTGGCCCAGAGGGTGTCCTTGCTGTATTTGACTGTGGGTTCCAGCCTCTGGTCCTCCAGTGCCAAGTGGACCTGGGCCTCTGAGACGGGAAACAGCCCATCCAGGGAGCAGTTCACGGGCCAGTGTGTGCCCACTTCCATGATCCGAGGAGTAGCAAGGCGTGGGCCGATCTTTGGGAGGACTGACCAGAGAGGGTAGGTGTGAACAGAGCAGGAATGAAGCCTTTTCCTGTAGCATTTTCATTCCAACACCTGGAACTCCTCTTCCTGGAAGATTCTGTGACCTTGGTCATCTCTCACCCAGGACACTTGGCATCCCTTACCCTGGGTCACAACCTCCTCAGAAGATTCTGTGGCCAAGGCACCCCATCCCCAACACCTCACCCCAGTGGCCAAGAACATGGTCTTCCCAGAAACCTTTGCAATCTAGGTCAATACCTTCTCAGTACCCTTATAGCCAGGAGCGTCCTCCTTACCAGGAACCCCACACCCCAAGCAGGAACCCCACCTGAACCCATCCTCTTACAGACTCCCCAATGCCTTACCGAAGGTTTGGAGCTTCCTGGGGATTGATCTGTTCTGGAACAGTCCCAGCCCTTGGGTCCGAAGGTCCAGTTCCGTGCGGCAAGAGAAATTGGTGCCATGGTCGTCTCTGCCTGCCAGCACTGTGGCAGTGACCTCAGCGGGCTCCCCCACCGCAGGCTGCTGGGCCAGCACCTTCTCCCCTTGAAGCAGCATCACGGAGAGGTGGGACCGGGGTGCGCCTCCCTCCACCTGGCAGTGCAGGGTCAGGTTTTCACCCACAGGGTGCCACTGGGGCAGGGGCGCTAGCTCCACACTCACTGGGAACCCTGGTGGAGAGGAGAGGGAGGGTCCTGTGAGCTGTACAGGACACCCACCAGCAGGGAGCGCTGGGGCACCAAATCTGGGCCAGGGAAGCCTTATCACTCCTGGAAACATACCCTAAACCACCTAAGCCATACAGGAATGTTAAGAATGTCAGAGGAAACTGGTGAGAAGTCCCCAAGTGGTTGTCAAGGGGCAAAACAATTCTTTATTTACTGCAGCATCTAAGAGTGAAAAGTGGAAAAGAAACTCAGAGCCTATCACCAGGTGTCTGGTGAAATTGCACACAGTGAATTTCAGCTGCCCAGTCCACTATAGATGGCTAAAAAGACCCCTGCGCCCCCTTCCCCTATCTTGGCCTCATTTTTCTCTGTAGCACTCCCCACCCTCTGACATACAGGATCATCTACTCAGTGAACTTGTTTCTCCTCAATTTTCCCCCGAGCAACATCAGGAGACAGGGATCTTTGTCTGCTTTGTCCCCATCACGCTGCCGGCACACAGTAGGCACTCTATATTTATAGAAAGAATAAGGTTGAACCATACACGCTGATTCAAGGCCTTTCAGGAGTCTGCTTTTAAGAGAAGGGAGTTTCCGAATGCACTGTGTGATCCCCCAAAATGTTAAAAACGTAAGAACCCACAGACACTCAAAATACACCTCTGAATAGCCCCTGAAAACACAGCCTGTGGGCTCAGTTTTCGCAGGCCAGGGTTTCCAGTCTGAACCAGGTAACAGAATTCTGAGCCTGGACTGCCAGCGAAATTTTATAGTAGAGCCCTGGTGAGCTGTGACTGAGTACTGAGCCGCGTCCCCACTCCCAGGCTCCCCAGGAAGGGGTCTTGAGGGCTCCGGGTCGCCGTTCCCTTCTCAAGAGGCCCTGAAATGTCACTCAGCAATGCAGTTAAAATGTCAGGGGCTTGGGTTTGGTTCTTAGTTTTTCTGCTTCTTTGCTTTGGACTGTGGGTGAATGACTTTGCTTCTGGAATAATTCTAGCCCTCAGGGCTGCAGAAGCTTAACCTCAGTTTCCTGAGCTGGGAAGTGGCCCTATTGGAGGTAGGATTATAATTAATCCACTTAAGAGGTCAAGAGAGTCAATGAAAATGAGCATAGGGTTTCCTTTCAGGGTAATGAAAATGTTCTAAAATTAGATTGTGGTGATGGTTGTACAACTTGAGACACTAAAATTCACTGAATTGCATGCACACTTCAAAGCTATTAAAAAAATAAAAAGGCCGAGAAAACCCTCAGTCATCCAGCTCTGACAATTAGGCATCTGCTGCAAACTCCAGCTCGCAGAGCTAGAGGCCTCCTTGAACCTCAGCGCCCACATCTTCAAGCCCAACTGTTCGCCCTGAGAGCCAGACTGAAGGAAGAAGTCTGCCTTGCCTGTACCTCTCCCTGACCCCTCCCCTTCTGTCCCTCACCAAGTCCTGGTCACTCTGATCTTCAAATATTTGTCTGCCCTTCTCTCCCTGTATGCAGCCACTGCCCACAACGCACATGGCCTAGGCCACGCCCTCTTCCAACCATTCTCTGGCTTCCCGTAAGTCTAGCTTTCTGCTCTCTGGATCCCTGACCTGCTCACACACCTTTGAAGTGTGGCTCCCTGTGGCCCTGAGGAGAAGGTCCCAATTCCTCAGCCTGGCATTTGAGGACCTGCCAACCTAAGCTGCAGCCTCACCTGTCTGCTGATGTTCAGCCCCTCCTGCCCTCCCAACCACAGAGGGGCATATTTCCCTACTGCAGGCCTGCGCCCCCGCTGTGCTCTCCGCCCAGAACGCCTGCCTACCAACTCCTGTGCACTCTGAAGGCCCAATGAGGGGTCACCTCCCGCAGGAGTGACCACCCCAGCCTTTTTAGAGAAAGCTTAGCCACTCAGGGGTGCCCCTCATCTTCACACTGACGGTAGGGCAGGACCGAGCCAGTCTCTCCTCGATGACACCCCTGCCACCGCATGCCGGCTATCTGCTCCATTTCACAGAGGTGGAAACTAGGGCAAAGTCCGGTGCCCAGAGTCACAGAGCGAGAAAGCGGTAGAGCCAGGGCTCACGCCTGAAGCACTGGCTTTCAGCTGTCAGGCCGAGCTGCGGAAGGGTCTTCCAGGAAGTTTCTCTGGGGTTTTCAGAGGGCACGGGGATACTTGGGGACTTCCCTCACCTGGTCAGCACCTGCTCAAACATGCTCGAAATCAGAAGCAAAGCTCATATTTGCCCAAAGGCTTCCTTGCTCAGATACCATGAAGAGATGGAATGTCCTTCATGCCTCACTGTGTCATTATACCTGTCCCAGGAGGCTTCATGTGAAAGTCAATCAAGAAGCCATGTCCCCCACAGTCACCCAGTCAGTAAGGGCCATGTTGGGACTGGAACCCAAGGCTGTCTAGTCTTAAAGCCAGCAGGCCAGTTTCCTTCCTTGCTTGTCTCCTTTTTGGTTTATTTTGTTCTAATTTGAATGTTATTTATTGCCTACAGTCACAGCAGCTCATTCTCACAGTTCAAAATGCCCAAAGGTTAAAAAAAAAAAAGGCACAAGGAGAGAAAAAACTCACCCCTGCCCTCTCCTAGAGCACCCCGCCGCCCCGCCACTAATATGGTCCTTTCTTTCAGTAAACACAGCCTCCTTTACGCACTCCAGCCACTCCTTCATACCTAGGATGGTGTGCCACTCATTCTGGGCATAACTTACTTCTTTTGAACTTGACCTGTTTAGATCCTTAGAGCACACTCTCTTTTGGGACACAAGGAGCTCCCTCATTCTTGTACACAGGTGCATACTACTCCACAGTATGGTCAGACCACGGTTTCTCTCCCAGCCCCTAACATTTGCGTGGCTTGCAAACTTTTGTCCTTTCAAATAATGCTGCGGTAAATAATCCCACCCCCGTCTCAGTTCCCCTGTCGGGGGGGCCACATGTAAGCCCCACTCCCAGAAGCAGAGTTTCTGCATCACAGGACACGTGCCTGTGTCACCTGTGGAACTGAGGCCACCTTCCCCACCGGGAGTTGCGCTTCTTTATGCTCCCACGCTGTCAGCAACGCCCCAGGACAGCCTGCTGCCCTGCAGTCTTGTCAGCACCCGATTCTTTTCATTGTGGTCAATATATGAAAAAAGCCACTTCAGGGCTAGTTTTAATTTGCATCTGTTTTTGTTTTCGTTTTTTTAAAGTCAGATCTAGGGCCTTGTCAGAAGCCTAGAGAGCCAGCATTCTTGTATATGCTGAATGGTTGTTGATACTCTAACTGCACCCAAGGAAGTTCAAGGACGGGTTTTAAAGGACAAGGAGGCTTTCTGAGGAGGTGCCCACCGGATCCTCAGTGACACCCTCCCTCACCCCCCCGCTCCCCGCCCCGCCCCGCCAGCATGCCCTGTGCGCCCCTGGGCCCAGCCACTCACAGTACACAGTAAGGGACACTGAAGCCTGGGTCTGGCGAGCGCCGCAGTTTGAGAAGCATAGTGGAGTGCTGTTTTCTTGTATGCCACTAAGTTCATAGGTCACCCAGTTTTGCCCTTGGTTGATTTGCTTCTTAGTCAATGGAGTCTCCAGGCCCAAGGTGGCATTTTGATCACAGGTGGCAGAGCAGGTCACCACCACAGAGCCTCCTCGGGGTATGGTGGCTTCTGGGGGTTGCACTGATGTTCCGGCACCTCCAGATCCTGGAACAAAAGTGTGAAGAGGAGCTTAAAGCATTACGAATTGGGGTCATCGACATTCCCGGGTACTCAGCCTGTGCTGGAGCACAGCCTTGAACAAAGACAAACTCTCTGCTGTTAGTGTGGGAGAGAGAAAAATTCATAAGCAAACAAGATAATTAATAACAGATGTTAAGAATTCTGACAAAAACAAAACTGGGCGGAAGAACAGACAGTGACTTGGTGACAGAGTATTGTGCGAGCAGAGGTATGAAAAACGAGAAGGGCCATCCAGAGACAAGGGAAATGAGTTCCAAGTGCAAAGGTCCTGGGGCAGGGTAGCTGGAGCCAAGTCAGCAAGGGGAAGAGCTGGGGGAAATGAGGTCAGGGAGATCATGCAGGCCATACATGAAAGCCTTGCCAAGGATGTGTTTTTCATTCTGAGGGCAATGGGGAGCCACGGGAGGATTTCAGCAGAGGAGGAACAGGGCACCAGTGTTCTCACTCCCACGAAGTCACATGGGGGAACCAGGCCTCGGGGGACACACGGGTTCTGATCAGGCTGGTTCCTCACTCCGTTTGACAAGTGCTCTCTCCTCTTTGGCCTCAATGTGCCCGTCAGTAAGGCGGGAGAGTATAGTCCCCCCCAACCCTGATAATGAAAGTAACCCCTAGGACAGGGCAAGGAGCAAGCAGCCCCAGTTAAGACACAGGATTGTGTTAGCTCCCTCAGACCTTGGTGCCTCCGAAACTGAAAAATGTCTGTATAAGCCCCTCTGTCCTGCCCTACCCCCACAGAGTCCTGCTTTGGGCCCACTTCATCGGGGGTGGGGGGACGTGAAAACAGTTCTCCATGGTGGTTCTGGGATCATTCCCGTTTCACAGAGGGAGGTGGTGAGGCCTGAAGAGGGGAAGTTACTTGGCCAGAAAGTGGGAGAAGCTGGACTTCAGACTGCATTAGAACATTCTGTGGAGCTGGTAACCATGGTCTCCATCTCCCACTCCCCTGCTCCCCAACCCTGACCACCTTTGAGACTCCCATCCCCCTTCCTCCCTCCCTCCAGGCTGGAGCTGGTGGAAGCCTGCTGGGGAATCTCACTTCTCTGCCTCTGGTCCTTGGGCAAGTCAGGCCTGGAATTCCCCTGAGCAGAAGCAGGTCTGGACTTCCCCCAGGGTAGCAAAGGAGGAACAAAATGTGCTTCAGGCGTGGGGGTCCCCAGTGTGCTCAGAGTAACCAATCTCATACCACCAGGCTGCCTCTTGGAGCCAGGTGCTGTGCTGGATCAGGACACAACCAAGGCAAGGTGGCCGCAATTACATTATTTTTTCCATTTTACAGCTGAGATTCAAACCCGTACAGGCTGCCTTTTTTTTTTTTTTTTAATATACTAATGAGAGAGAGAGACATAGAGACAGAGACAGAGAGAAACATTGATTTGTTGTTCCACATTTTTATGCATCCGTTGATTGATTCTTGTATGTGCCCTAACCGGGCTTGCGACCTGCAACCTTGGGGAATTTGGAAAGATACTCTACCTAAGTGAGCTACCTGGCCAGGGTCTGGCGGCTGCCTTTCAGTGAGTGGCTGTAGCCCGAACTTCAGCTGAACAGCTACTTAAATACAAATGACCTTGTCCCCAGCCGCCGGGAGCCGGTCCCGCCACTGCGCCCAGGGCGCTGGCCCGACGACATCCCCCCATCCTCGACTTACCTGGGAGCAGAGCCCCGAGCAGGACCAGGAGCGCTGGCAGCAGAGATCGGGTGGCCATGGGCGCCAGAGCGACGTACGCAGATAGAGACTAGTACGCAGATAGAGACTAGTAACGGGCAGGGGAGGAGGTCAGTTTGCTGCGGCGGACTGGGAGCCAGGACAGCACCGGTCCTTTTATAGAGCAGCCCATGTGGGGTCGGGGGGCGGTGCTGACTTCCCGGAAACCTCACGCCTTCCCCAATCGAACTAGGGCTCTGGCATTTCCTGATTGGGGAGGTGCCTCGCCCCAGCGTCTTTGCCCCCCAGCTAGCCGGTAGTCGCAGCAGCCGTTTGGGCGCCGGAATTTCCAAATTGAAGCAATGAATGAGGTCACAAGCGGGGACAGTGATTCGGGGCACCTCCGGATCCAGGGGGCTGGTTTTTGGGCCGGGTCAATCTTCACTCTGCGTTTACGCTGGGCCAAGTGCTTACAACTACCCTAGAACGCGAGAGACTGTTACTGTGCCCATTCCAGAGAGGGGTAAACTGAAGCTCTGAGCTGTGGGAGAATTTGACGCCCCAGCTCCTGCAGGCCTCTTGAACCAAGTGGATGATCCCTCGCTGCGGTAGGGGCGCGGGAACCCTCAAGGGACAAATTCCATCAAGTGTGCCCCCATCCCCGCCCCTGTCCAAGGGGCTTGTCCCAGCCCAGCTGGCACCGAGGTTTCCCCAAGAAGAGTCGGAGCAGCCCCAGACACCCCCAGGCGCTGCCTGGGTAACAGGCGGGCGTCGTGACATCCCGAGATCCTTGTCGTCCCCGCGCCGATGGCCGCCCCAGCTCCCGAGGCCTCGCTTCCCTCTTCGGTCGTGGTCGCGGGGGCGTCTTTGCAGTTTCCAGAAAGGGGAAGGAAGCCTAGTGGGGCTAACGCGGCGAGCTCCCCGCTGCCTTCCCAGGCTCCGCGAGGAAACAGGCAGCAGACCTAGAGGGGGGAGGGTAGGCGCTTGAGCTCTTCTTGCCTTTCCAAGGGAAACTGAGGCAGGTCCTACTCTTCGAAGTGGGGCGGGGAGAGGGGGCAGTCAAACGCCCGCCCACACGCGCGGCTCTCGAAACGTGAACCCCAAAACTCGAACCCCGGACGCTAGCACTAAATGCGTGCAGAGCTCTGTCCGGGCTGGTTCCATTAAGGCGATGAGGGCGTTGTAAAGCCCCGCGCCCGCCGCGTCTACTCGCCGCCCCCACGCCCCCCATCCCCGAGGTCACAGCCCGGGCGTGTGACCGCAAGACTCGTCATCCACCGCGTCGAGGCTGGAGGCTCTGGGGTCTCCGAGGGCGCCAAGTCGCGCCGCCCAAGGCTTCCTGTTGTGGGGCGCATGCTGCAATCGCCATGGAGACCTCTGAGGGGCCAGGGGTTCGCCAAGCAGAAGGGGAAGCTAGGGGCCCGGGGAAGCCCCCGCCCTTCCTCGGGGGATGGGGCTACGAGTCACTTCTCATCCAGAAATGCGCCCCTCCCCTGGCCCCGAAGGTTCTTTAGGAATTTCCACGGGGATCTTTTTTCCGAAGGCGGGTGTGTGTAGAGGGTGCTAAATTCCCCCCTAGAAAAGCCTGGGCAAAGGTGCAGAGTAGGGACGTCCCTGCCCCTCGGAGGCTCTGGGAAAATCCTGCGGGGCGTGTTATTTTTCCGGTGGATTTTTCTCGGGCTCCTATCACCAGGTCCCTTGGCCTCGAATTGAAGTACTCGGGCCAATAGCTCCGCTGTGCGGCCCAGGTACCCACTGCAGCCAGGGAAGTGTGGTTCTTCCTCTCTCCTTGCACCACTGCGCAGTGCTCAAGACAAAAACTTTGCATCGTGCTGAGAAGGTCTTAGTCGCGGGCGACAGATAAGAGACAAAAATAAAATAGACGAATTGTTAGCTTGTTATTAGTGCTAAGGAGAAAAATAGAGTGGGGAAGGGGAGAGGAAATATGAGGATTAATGCACTTTTAAATAGAGTATTCTGGGGAAGACTGAGGTGACATTTGAGTAAAAGCCAGAGGGAGGTGAGGGGGGAACGGTGACAATATTAAGAAGGTAGGATATGGGGCAGGGAACACCGGAACTGCAAAAGCCCGGAGGTAGGCGCTGCCTTAAGGAGCAGTCAGGAGTCAGATGTGGCGCAGTGAGGAAGGAGGGGAACTGGGGGAGAGCAGGCAGGGAGGGGGTTGGGGTAGAGCTTGCAGGTGCTTGGGGAGGGGTGGGGGACTTTGGCTTTTCCTCTCAGTGAGGTGGGGACCATGGAGGGTTCTGGGCAGAGGAGGAGCAGGCCAGCACTGACTTAGGTACTTGCAGGCACCTTCCTGAGGCTATAGGAGCTCCAGTTGGGGAGTGGGAGGGCAGGGTGGAAGAGAGAAGGGAGAGGAGGTGACTGCTCTAGCTCAAGCAAGTAGTGACGGCACCTGGACTGGACAGTGGCTTTGGAGAAGGAGTCGAATTTGGCGTCTGTTTCGGCAGCAGAGCCAACTGGATTTGCTAGCTGGGGCAGGGCAGAGTCAAGGATGACTCTTTGGGGTCCTGCTCTGAGACTCTGGGAGGGTGGCGCGCCCTTTCCTGAGTGAGGATGGGCCGGTAGCGGCGGGGGTGGGGGGAGGCAGGTTGGCAGAAGGAGAATGTACCTCCCCGTCTTATGCTCCCTTGGTGGCTTTTCTTTTTCATTTTCATTTTAGTTTTTAAAAGATTGTATTTATTTACTCAGTCTCAGAGGAAGGGAAGGAGAAAGAGAGGGAGAGAAACAATGATGTGAGAGAGAAACATTGATTGGTTGCCTCTCACACGCACCCCAACTGGGGTCCTGGCCCACAGCCCAGGCCTGTGCCCTTCGTGGGAATCAAACAGGCAACCCTTCAGTTTACAGAATGATGCCCAGCCCACTGAGTCACATCGGTTACGCCTTTTGCCTTTTTTCAAGGGAAAGGGAAGCACATGGTACTGATCCCTTTTCTGCAGCCTCTAGGAAAGGCAGGGCTTCCTCCAGGGTGCCAAGCAGTCTCAGGCAGGCCAAGGCAATTAGCCTAGGGCAGAGGTATCTGTGCCTGACTCCATGGCATTACACTTGCTCTCCCCTCACTCTGAGCTCTGGCATGGTCACCTGGCAGTGACCTCGGCCTAGAATGCTCTTTTCTCATCCCTGACATGGCCTGCCCCTACTTTCTTACAGCCTGAGCCTCTTCCCAAAACTTTCCTGAATGCCCCCACCCTAATCCTGGGCCACACCCTGTTCACTCTGTTCCTTGCCCTAATGTGTTCATTACTGAAACTTTATTCATCTGCTGAAATTCTTTGATTTATTTGATTGTCTGTGACTTCCATTTCTATGAATTCCAGAAAGGCCGGGAACCTGTCTTATTGAGTAAATGAACTTCTCTTGTCTCTGAGCCTTCTGTTTATGCTGTTCCTCCAGCCCAGAATTCCCTTTCCGCCACTTTTACAATCTTATGAGCATTTCACTCATAAGATTGGCATGCAGGTGGTCTGGGAGGTGATCCCAGGGAACTCCTGGCGCATGGGGAACCAGGAAGGGAGACAGCAAAGGTGAGCCTCAGGGGACTTCCCCTTTGAGGGCAACTGGAGCTCACCTTATGGGGAACTTTCAGTGATGGGTAGACTCCACCAGTCCTGTGCCTCATTAGGTAAAGGCTGCTCCAGGGTATATCTCCCCAGTATTTCCTATATGTAATTTTTAATTCACCATGCTGTACATTATATCCCTACCACTCATTTATTTTATAACTGGAAATTTATACCTTTAGACCTCTTTCAGCCATTTCCCCACCCCCTTGTCCCCATCTCTAGCAATCACCAATCTGTGCTCTGTCTCTATAAGTTTTCTTTTTAAGATTTTATTCATTTTCAGAAAGAGGAGAAGGGAGGGAGAAAGAGAGAGAAACATCAATGTGTGGTAGCCTCTCGCACACCCACTGCTGGGGACCTGGCCTGCAACCCAGGCACATACCCTCACTGGGAATCAAACCAGCGACCCTTTGGTTCACAGGCTGGTGCTCAATCCACTGAGACACACCAGCCAGGGCACTATAAGTTTTTTTAAAAGATTTTACATACAGACTTCTGACCAAGATGGAAGCATAGGTAGATACACTTTGTCTCCTCACGTAACCAATAGCAGGACAACAAATTTAAAAACAAAAAATAACCAGAACTGCCAGAAAATCAAACTGTATGGAAGTCCAACAGCCAAGGAGCTAAAGAAGAAACACTCATCCAGACTGGTAGGAGGGACAGAGACAGGCAGCCAGGGTAGAGGGGACGCATGGCAAGGCGGTGGCTGGCGGACCCAGAGGTCCCACATTTGTGTGCAGATAAACCATGAGAAACAGCTGGGGAGTGAGACAGACTGGCAATCCAGGGTTCCAGAAAGCCTTGAAACCTCTGAAGGGAAAAGCCTGTGGGGTTATGGCAGCAGGAGAAACTCCCAGCCTCAGGAGAGTCCATTGGAGAGACCCAAGGGGTCCTAGAACCTACACAAACCCACCTACCCGGGAATCACCACTAGAAGGGCCCAATTTGCTTGTGTGTAGTGGGGGAAGTGACTGAAAGCCGGCTGAGAGCTGAGCAAGTGGCAGTGTTCGCTCTCAGATCCCTCTGCCACACAGAGTGTCACAACGCAGCGACCTTAGTGGTCCTGCTCTAGCGAATACCTAAGGCTCTGCCCCGCCCAATGTAACAGGTGCGCTGAGACAAAGAAAAATGGCCCAAATGAAAGAACAGATCAAAGCTCCAAAAACAGAACTAAGTGATGAACAGATAGCCAACCTATCAGATGCACATTTCAAAACACTGCTAATCTGGATGCTCACTGAATTGGTTGAGTATGGTTGCAAAATGGAGGAAAAAGTGAAGGCTATGCAAAGTGAAACAAAGAAAAATATACAGGGATCCAACAGTAAAGGGAAGAAAACCGGGACTCAAATCGACGACTGGGAGTAGAAGGAAGAGATAAACATTCAACCAGAACAGAATGAAGAAACAAGAATTCCAAAAAATGAGGAGAGGTTTAGGAACCTCTGGGACAACTTTAAATGTTCCAACATCCTAACCATAGGGGTGCCGGAAGGAGAAGAGGAAGAGCAAGACATTGAAAACTTATTTGAAAAAATAATGAAGGAG